CAAATATGTTGTAACCTAAGTCAATGTCATTTTTATTGATATATATTAAAAAAAATATAAACGGATACAATTCACAAATGCGTTGATGATCAAACATGCATACCAAAAAATGTTTAATATAGTCATGAAGGTCGTTGAATCAAATGCTACTAATTGCTTGTATTTGAACATTTTAATTTAGTTTTTTCACGTTAAAAAATATGGCAGGAGGTTTGCAAGTGAAGCACGAACTATAAAAATTCACCAGCGTAAAGATCGATCAGCTCACTCCAATTAATTTTAATATCCAGCTCCAGTCGGACCGTTGTTTTCTCGCTAGTCTATCGGTTTTTTTTTGCTCGTGGCTGAAAATTAATACAGAAATAAGCCCGAAGCCTCTGCTAACAATGAAAGCATTCACCTCTTGCACGGTCTACTCGGTAGCTACTACTAATGCTGGGCCAGCAGGTTCAATATTTTCCAGCATCAGACCATCAACGGAAGCCTGTGTAAAACTATCGTCGACGAGTTTGCTTTATAGCCCGCTGGAGGATTAAAACAAATTAAAAACGAACAAAAAATGATAATAGAATAAAAGGCTGAACGGACTGTAGGAAAGAAGTTTGTTACTGCAGTTCTCCATCAATGCGAAATCGTAGAATCGGTAGCCGCAACTCACAGACAAGACCGCTAGCCGCCTGTACAACTGAATGGCTCGAGAGAATAAACTATCGGCGCAATGGTGCAAAAAGGAAACGAACGCAGACACGTAATCCTGCAGCGCAAGCCAGTCCGAAAGTTTAAAGGCGTCTGAGCTGTGCGGGGGAAGGATTTGGCGCATATAAAAAAAGGATGACTCGGGATCCTTTTCTCTCGGTTCTCTGGGAGGATGATCCACGCAAAAGGCAAATTCAGCGCAAAACCAAGACGAACAAGAGAAGAAGAAGTAGGCGAAGATAAAGCAAAAGTGGAAAGAAGATGAAGAAGAAGTGGAAGAGTATAATGCTTAACAAGCCGACTTGAAAGGGCGTCTGGCATTTCGAGTCAATACTTGAAAGTCTTTGCTCATTAAGAATATTTTACGGCAGGCGAACGTGGTTGGCTGCTGAGCGAACTGCTCGGCTTGGTTTTTTTCCTTCTTTATTTCTTCCTTTCTCTCTCTCTCTCTCCGCCAACGGCGAGTGGGCGGCCCCCCGAAGATGGGAGTTTTTTCTCTCTTTCTCTACCCTCCATCGCGCGACCCCATAGCGTTCTCTGCCCCTAGCGCTAGCTCTCGCTTCTTCCTTGCTCGCACTAGCTCGGGCGTCCACCCACCCACCCACCTACCCAACTGCTTTCCGTGGCTACGGCAGCCTTGTAAATTCCGCCCAGCTTTCCTTCTTTTCGGCTTAAGTTGATACTGCGCCCGCGATAATTCCTATAACTATGCATTTCCCACCTTAACTACAGATTTTTATAAGTTGCTTAAGCATGCAAAATTGATATGAGATACCAAGGCATTCACGCGATTTTATATCTTATCTTGTAATCACTATCCTATTTGGCCGCCTTCACCTTTTTCTCACTCCCTCCGATGTCCTCTCTCTTCCTCTCTCTCTCTCTCTCTCTCTCTCTCTCTCTCTCTCTCTCTCTCTCTCTAATTCCTACCCAATTCCTCGGCTCTTAGCATTTCAATTTATGTGCGCCAAGTGATTCAACATCCTAGTTAGTGGAACGACTCAAATTTATTTAACTCCTAAGAGAGACAGAGAGAGAGAGAGAGAGAGAGAGAGAGAGAGAGAGAGAGAGAGAGAGAGAGAGAGAGAGAGAGATAGAGAGAGATAGAGAGAGAGAGAGAGAGAGAGAGAGAGAGAGAGAGATATAGAGAGAGATAGAGAGAGAGAGATAGAGAGAGAGAGAAAGAGAAAGAACGATGACGACGAAACGAAAGACGACAACGTGGGTTGCTGATGAGTGAGAAAAATATAAAGACATCTCGGAATACTAATGGCCGAGGGGAGAGTTGCAAGCAGAAAATATATACGGCCGAGCAGCCATTGATTTTAACAAGGAAGAAGCTTTTCAAGCGAACGATACACTTTTTGGAAAAGCTTTTTACAAAGTTTTCTTCGGGATGCAAAACAAGGAAGCTAGTTAGTTTCGAGTTGCAGAAAAGATCAAAGCTAACAATAAGAGCAATAATTAAAGAAAGTTGAGAAAAGCTTGTTCTGGAGGCAAGATAAAAGAAAACAAAGAAATACCGTGGAATTACTCGAGATGACAAAGGATCTTCCAAACTAACGATATACAATGCAGAACTCGACGAATGCACACGCACACACACAAACAGAGAGGTGGTGTCTCGTCTTCTGTGCCAGTTGACGAGGTCCAATTCGCAAGACTCTTCGATTATTTAGAAAGAATTCCCGCAGGTCACGAAACGCTTGTTATTGCGTCCCCCATTCCGACTTTTTGTTGCGACTCTTATCCTTGCCTTCACAACCCCTTTACTTGGATCTCGTCCCATTGAGATAAGGGTTTAGAATTTACATGCTCGCGAAAGGCAAGAACAAGATAGGCAACCAAGTGTATACACAAGAACTTTGAAAATGGATGAAAAAATCTTTTTTTAATAAGTCTGACGATAAGAAATTTTCATAAAGATATAAAATCGGTGTGCAGATGTGATTCTCGAGTTACATTCAAATTTGTATTTCCATCAAAGGTTCAAAATTTTTCATTAAGCTAATGTTTCATTTTACTTAAAGTATCAACTCAAATCGTTATACTATTCGGAAATAAAAGCAATTTTACAAATTTGTCTGATAACTTGACAATTTCCATATATATATGTATGTATGGGTGTGGTATGTATGGAAAAGTAGAGCATTATCGCCGACTTTTTCGTTTTCCTTATTTTTAACAATGTTCCCACATACCAAAACAATGCGTAATGATAGATCCTTCAAATTCAGCACCCGCAGAAGCTATTACAAGTTTCTTCAAATGGAAATATCATCAATTTTACATTTTTATTTCATCTTCAAGAAAAAATATTTTCGCATACTGTACTGATCCGGTGGGGTTAAATTACTGGCTTGGCGGCACATTTTGATCTATCTCAGTTATAGCAATAACAGAAAAAGATGAAGTTCTTAGATTGAAAAACAAACTCACACTTTTTTCCCCCGAGTTAATACAATTATTTTGAGTTCAGGCTTTGATTTTGAACATGGGAATCTATTTCGTACTTTTCAGCCAAAAAAATTAGGGATAAAAAATTAATATCCAGTTCTTATGGTAAAAATGCCTCGACGACAAAAATTTTATTAATAGGTATTATCTTTGATAGAATATAACTGATAGAGGCGCGTGGTAGCTCAACATTTTCGTCTTGTCACAAAAATTGTCAATGTATATCAAACTTCTAATAATTTTTTTACATACTTTTGTGAAACATATAACTGATTCATGTCAAAAAGCGTTCCAAAAGATATTACGAAATTCAATTTTCGGCGTCATCAAAATATCAGCATCCCAGGCATTAATCGTCTTAGCTAAACCAAGTTAAAATATGTGCTATTTAAAAGATATTTTAATATAGATAAATTTAGACCGCGATAAATTAACCCACTCTCCCCTATCAATAACAAAAAGCTACATCAACGTATTTATCTATAAGTTTATAATACAACAATGCAGGATAATTAGATCGAACGAAACACTCCATTTTATTAATGACGCTTGCTGACTGACATTTATTGAAAAATTAACAGATTGCGGTTTCATATACGTTATACCATTAATTTCGAGATTTACATTGTCTGACTATTTTAATAACATTATGAATGATTGAATTGATAAATTTAATACAATTATCCTCATATCTTCATTAGAATTGGAATAGAATATTTCACAGTTTTTTTGTCTCATTTGAATTTTAGACCAAATCTTAGTTTCTCTATATAACAGTAAAGTAATTCTCCAAATAGAGCTTTATCAGTTATATACTTTATCATTATCGTATAATAAAACAAATTAAAAAATCTAAATAATGGAAATTTTAAAGAATACTAAAGAACATTTATATTTTTATAAAAACTTTGTTCTATAAATCGTATTTGCATATAGTGCATTTATATTCAAATATGACTTATGATAAAATCATTGATTAATATCATTGCTTTTCATTTCAAGGTTTTTAACTCGTCAATCGTATCGATGATATCAACGTACAGATATAAACGTTTATAATTATAAATAATACAAACGGTTGTTTTAAGTTTTGTGATGCTAAAATTGTCACCTATATTACGAATAATTATCGGTTTTTTTAGTGTAAATCTTTCAGATTTAAAGTTCGTTCGCTTTTAATGGATACATGTGCATAGATAAGTTGCGATTTCATAATCTTTTTCCTATATTTACTTATTAATAATCAAATGAACTACTATTATTTGACTTGTAATACAAACTGTTTTTAAGTAAAATTATTTTTAAACAAGTTATTTCCACAAAAACGTAAAAGTCCAAGTAATTGATTGAAAGTTGAAAAAATGGACTTTTAATGAAAAAAAAATGTTTGTACGGGTTAGTAAAATATTAATTAAAATGAACATAAAGAAACAATAATCTAATTTTTATATAACCATTTAATATCGATTTTGTTGACACCCGCAGTAGTACACACTTAAGGGGGCGTTCTTCAGATAAAATAAATCTTTTCGGATTAATACAATCGAAATGAGGTATTTTGATGCGGTACACATTTAAGCCACGGTCACAACAGTATTTATTTACATATCAATTTTAGTAATCTAGATAAAATTTAGATGTATTTGAATCGTAATTTTTAATGAGTTCTTATAATTACCTGAGAAGTAATCATCGCAAACTAATAATAATAAAATATTACATTTAAGTAAAACTATCTCTAAAGATATATCATTATATTCATTCTGGATATTTTCGACCGATGGTAAGTAGAAATAGTTACAGCTATCTCCGTATGGATACGCGACAATAGTGAGCCGGTTGGAAAGCATGGCATACATCAGCTGATCAGTTTGACAATGTGAGCGAGGGCGCTAAACAACTTATTAATTTTTATTACTTTATAAAAACTTCATGTTGTTTTAATATGGAAGATGTAAATTGTATTTGGCAAGAACTTAGTAATATTTCGGCCGACCCGCCTGAAATGCGAAATAAATGTAGTCAATGCAAGTCAGTAAGCAATTTTACCTATTAAAAATCTGTATTGGAATAACGTAAACTTATTTTTATATAAACGTGGACTACTCATTTTTAGAAGACCAGTGGCAGTTTGCTGGTGTCCAGGTTTGCCACTACCTCCTTTGAATCCATCTTCAAGAATTATAATCCTTCAACACCCTGCAGAAGTTAAAAGATGTTTAAGAACTGCCCCAATGCTTACTCTTTCTCTTGAATCAGGAAAATGTCTCACCTTCAGGTAAATTGTTGTCACCAATAAACTATTGATTATAAATAATTTCGTAACAAAAGGTATGTAATCAATTTTTCAGAGGCAAAAAATTTCCTCAATCTAAATTCAGTGAATTAATTGAAATTCTTAATGATCCAAATACGATTTTACTGTATCCATCTGTTGACGCAGTGCCATTAGATGAATTGACTATGGTAGGATCAAATGGCCAGAAGCCTTATAATTTAGTTCTGCTGGATGGAACCTGGCCTCAAGCTAAAGTATATCTTTTTTGAATATACACATATAAAAAAATATTCAACAGATAAATGATTTTTTATTTGTACAATTTTAGGCAATGTATACAAGCAATCCTCTACTTGGTAAAATTCGCTCGTGTAAGCTAATTAATGTTCCAGCAAGTGAATATGTAATACGTACACAACCCACAGAAGGCTGTCTTTCAACTCTTGAAAGCGGAGCAATAGCGCTTTCAATATTAGAAGGTAAACCATGGCTGAAAGATGCAATGTTAGGACCACTTCATTATCTTTGCAGGTAAATTGTTACATCATTACTTAGTCTTATGTAAAATAAGTTTAATAACATAACAAATTATTTTAGATTTCAATTAGAAAATGGAGCAGTGACCCACCAGAGTAAAGAATTTCTAATCAAACGTAATACTTGTCCAAAATTAATTGGAAGAAGACTGGCAAAACAATTAAGGATATTACCAGATAGTTCTTTTTAATAATTATACAATGTACAAAACGGTGTAAATATCTACAAAAAATAATATTTCTCAACACAAAAATACAACAGAACTTTTTACAGAACACTTTTAATAAAAGAAATTAAAATAGATTATAAAAAATGATAATAAAACTATCATTACAGTTCATTACATTACACTGTATGTACATTACAGTTCAAATATTTGCTTACAAACATGATATTGTTTCTTTCTTGAAATTCTTGTTTTTATTTCTAAATATACAGTATTATTATTTTTAATGTAATTCAAACTGAAATTGTACAGTTCCTTCTCTAGGATCAAAATCAAATTTATGTATAAGTAAATTTTGATTTGTTACTTGTGTGATTTTGTAAGGCAAATGAACACCTTGTCTTGTATATAGGTCCCATGATACTCTGGAACCAGGAATGACTTCTAGTACAGGTCCAGACGTTATTGTTATATCATCATCTAAATGCCAATCGATCCATATAGCAATTCCATTGCAAGATCCGTTACTAGAAATTTAATAAATTCAGAAAATGAAATTGCTTTGTTATTCAGACATAAAAGTAAAATACTTACACAAGAAATGGAATTTTTTCGGACAATTTAACTCGTGCTAGTTTTCTGACATCTTCACTGAAATCCAAATTCGCAATTGTAAAAGGCAAAGTAAGAGCTATACCAGGATATTCCCATAATGGTTGAGCTTCTACAGAACTATCAGTTTTGTTACTGGAAGACTACACACATACAGACAATTTAATAATTTTTGAATTTATAATATATATTTAAGAAAATTTATAAGCTTAATCTACCTGTACCAAATCATCAAAAATTGTCATATCAAAACCTTCACACACATTTAAAGGTGCTCTTATTTTATGTAAGTCTTTGAATTCCATTGCTACACCTTTAATAGTAGCTCTTTGAGGTATTCGAGAAATCTTTCGTGAATACCTCGACGCGAGGTACCAAAAATGTAGATTATCCCATGGAAGAATTGAAGTTACATAATAAGGCTCCGCCAATAAAAGCGAAACTTCATTGTTTGATGGTAAATTGTCTAATGAATCAACAATTGTGACAGAATTAGCTAAATTATTTTTTTCTATAAACATTTCCATTGTTTTTCGTGATAACGAGTTTGTTTCAAACAAATACAACTTTTTTATTCCCATTTTCGCAATTGAAAGACCGAGAAGTGACGAGTCAGTAAGACATAAAGCAACTGTATCTGTCGAAACGTTTTTGGATAATGCTTCTAAAAATTTCTTATTCCTACTCAGATCGTTCCACTGACCAATACGCGTTCTTGAAAAAGCTAAATGCACAAAACATTCACATATCGGTCTTTTAAAATTGTCAATTTCGTTTCTGAAAAGAAAATTAATTTTGAACATTTAGATTTATTTATTTCTTTGATTTTTAAAAATACTTTCAATATACCTGTATGTATGATCCAGAGAAAACCAAAATGAATACTCATCGTGTGAACAAGATAAAAAAAGTTCTGTTCCCAGAGAAACATGTAAATCGTTAGGAAGGTAATAAATAGCTTGCATCCAATGATCTCTCCAAGGAATCTCATCGGCTAATTTTCTAAAACATTGATCCTTTTTTATGTTCGATTGTATATCTGGATGAGCCCAGACTGGTGCACAACTTAATAAAATCTACATGAAAATTAGTGGTTTTAAATTAAAAAATAAATGAATAATTATATTATTAATGTTGCATTTACATCTCCATCCATATCCATATTCAAATCCCACCACATAAAAACAGCATGTGCTATTCCCTCAGCAATAGGTTTTACAGGTATAATAACATTTTCATTGAAAATTAAAGGAATTTTTCCAGTCCAGTCAAACCTATTATTAATTTCAACTATATAATAAATGTTTTATTAAATACTGAATACATAATAAAAGAAATTGCTTTACTTGAAAATAGGCACTGGTTCTGTTAATGAGGTAAAAGAATCCTTTGGCAATTGTGAAAGCTGTATATCATGTACTGAAGATGCACCAGAGCAAACTTTTGTATTATCTGGGATATCAAGTATAATACTTTTACTATTTGTATGTGTTATTGGATTGATTCTATTCCATCCTTTTACCACAGAACTATCTACTACTTGAACCCAAACTGTTCCACTACTTGGCACAACAATACAGTTTTTCTAAACAGTAGATATTAATTTAATTTAAAAAAAGATTGATATTTTGATGTAGTTTCAGTAGTATATTTAATGATATAATAATAAAGTATACCTCAAGAAGACATTCTTGAGCATGTTTAAAAGTTGATAGTGCACCTTCTCCAATTAATTCTGTATCAAAAACTTCAGTAACTAAAATATTCGCTTTTTTTAATAAATCTCCATTTTCTCCTACTGTTAATTTAGTAGATCTTTTATAAATTAACTTAATTTTGTCTGCAAAACCATTTTTCTCAATAATTTTTTTAGCACACTCTGCAATTGGCTTAAATGTCTGTAAATTTGAATTAATAATAAATGTTATATTTGAAATTGTTATATTTGAAAAATTAATCATTTTATTAATGAAAAGTTATTACTTCGCAAGCAGCAATGCTGTCAGCTCCTAATTGAGCAGCCATCATTGATAATAAACCTGTGCCAGTTCCAATATCCAAAACATTTGCTTCTTCACCTGCTTTATGTTTTTTATTGATTGCAGCTTTTAACCCAAGATAATACTTTCGATTCTGAAAATGATACATAATATTTCAATACATATACTATTTATTGATTATTATTAGATGTATATGAATTGAAATTCTACTCACTCTTTCATGATCATGTAACATATCAGCAAATGCAGATCTTGCTATTTCCTGATAATAATCATAATCTGGATCTCTTTCTTCCCATGTTGTTATTCTAGTTATAGGATTTATATTTTGTGTAAAAATACTCATTTTGTGTATGTTCAAGAAATGCTGTCGAAAGCGTAAAAGTTTCATGCAAATGTGATACTGATGTAATACTACTAAATCAAACAAATGATTAATTTTAAGTATAAAAAGTACTATATTTTCGAGTTAAAAATATAATTGCTTATTACTTAAATGCTTAAGACATACCTAAGGCAAGGTTATAAAATAATTTGGATTTTTAATTAACGAAAGTTACTTTGGCACAATATAATATTTTTTCGCTATATTAAAAATACATTTTTTATTTAAAAAATAAAATTTTTTCTCATCTTTAGATGGTAAAAAAATATTTTGTTTATACACGTGCAATAACACGCGCTGACGCGCACGTCTGCACGAGCACTCAAATTTTAAGTTACTATTACTACTAATTACTATACTATAGTAAAATATATGGCGCTAGGGCGCGAAATTTATATCTACTACATTCAAAAAATTATAGACGAGAATTATTTTGATTTCAAATAAAAATTCAATAATTAGTAATTTTTATAAATAAGCCTTTACTTTCTTTAGTAAATTATAAAATTGATGATTTATATATAATATCAATCTGAATGTAACATTTGATATAAATATTCTTGTAAATGTATCTGATTAGTTTGCAATCTGACATATCTGAAATAATGTTCTAATTCATGAATTGCATTAAGGTGTGAATTATTGTTCACGGCTCTGTAATTTATTTGATGATCTATGAGATTTGTAGACAATGAAGGTTCAAATGGACTATAATCACTATTGGCCCGCGTTCTATTTAAATAATTTGATGTTGCGATATTCGTATCTTGGAAATTCAAGTTTATGTTTGTAGTCTGTGAGTCACAATGACTATCAGAATCTGAATGATCTATCTCTGTATCAGTATTTTTAACATGTAAAGTATTATCTCCATTGCATGTTCCATTTAAACAATTAAAAACATTTTGTTTTTGGTCATTGACTGAGCAGTTGTTTCCTATTAGAGGAATGTACTTATTATTTTTATCTTTCTCTTCACAATTATATTTTTTCAATTGAAAATGGTAGGTTTCAGTAGAACAATCATCATCTGATTCTGTATCATTAAACTTTAATAAATTTTCATTTATTTCAGCAATGATTGACAATAGTTCAGTTTTATTAGTTTGTTTACTACTTTTCAATTTTTCAATTATTTTTTCTTTTATTTCATTGTCAATGGTAGTTAAAATATATCTAGTATCTAACCATGCTTCATAAGTTTCGTAGTTACATCTTAAATATTCAATAGCTGCTTTATATCTTCCGATTTCATTATCGGTAATCATCAAATTTGGAAGTGGTTTAGAAATATCTATTGGATAAGGAAAATATGAATTAAATTTACCTTTTTGAGAACGATGCAAATTTTTGAAATCTTCAATTTGTTGATACATTTTTAATAAGTTTATATTTTGCTTAATTTCACAAAATAGGTATGTATCTTTTATTTCACTGTCATTTCGAATTTCTGGGTATATGCATAAAAGAGCTTTCTTTTGAATATTATAAAAATGATACAGTGCAGCATAAAAATTCTGAGTACATTCTGTTACATGCATATCATCTGGTAAAAAAGGCATCAACATCATCATTTCATGAGTCAATTTTCTTTTCCAGCACGATGCTTCATACAGAATAAGTTCTTCAGGATCATTAAAATTAGAAGGTCTACTTTTGCAATTTGTTTCAATTTTTAAAAGAGTTTGGAAATCTTCAGTTTCAAACAATACTGAATTAAAGTGCTTTTCACTATTTTCAATTATTTTTTCAATATCTACAGTGTGATGTTTTAAAGAAGTGTTTAAATTAATTTTATTAATTGTTGGAAATGAGTTACAAAGATTTGAGTTTTTAACAAAATTTACTGTTAAAAAATTCTTTACACTTTGGAACTTAGTTTCTGATATTTGATTCTGTGGCACTTTCTTTAAATTTAGGATAAACATTCTATTTTCATTTAACTTTTCCATATCTGATGGATTAATAGACTTATTAATTTGAAAGGTTCTTATATTAAATTTTGATGCAGCATGTGATGGAAGTGACACATTACTTTCATGTTTGATACAATCCACTTTCAGATTTAAATTCTCAATTGCTTTTGATAATTTGTCAACAAAAGATTTCATTGGCTTTTCTTTTATCTTACTTATAGGTTTCTTTATATCAATATTTAAGTTAGTTTTTGGATTCAGTGGTTCTATAGGAACTCCATTAACTGACTCCATAATATTTTTTTCAAATTCTGTGTTAGTAATAACTGTAGTTTGAGTCGCTTGTATTCTATCAAATGAACTTTCATCTTCATTCCAAATATTTTCAGAAATATTTTCTGAAAGTTTCATGATGGAAAAATTTTCTCCACCAACTGACAATAAAAGATTTTGAAAAGTAGATAATTCTTTTTCTGAAATAATATTGATTGATATACCTCGAGAGCCATATCTACCTGCTCTCCCTATTCGATGAAGGTATGTTGCACTATCATCAGGTATATCTATATTAATAATTAAATTAACATTTTCTGCATCTATACCTCTAGCTATTAAATCTGTTGTAAATAAAATTCGACATTTAAAATTTTTTAACTTTTCAATTGAATTTATTCTTTCATTCATTTCTTGATTTCCAACAATATAAATTGCAGGATATCCCATTGATGTTACTTTATTACAAATAGATTGAGTTCTGAAAGAAATGCATGTTTTTTTTATTTTTTGTTGTAAAGCACAAAACTTAGTATTAAATAAAATCTTACCTAGTTTGAAAGTTAGTAAACACAAGACACTGCTTAAATGGAACTTTTTTGAAAATTTCTATCAATTTTTCCACTTTTATTTGTATCTACAATAGAAATAACAGAGTTATAGAAATTTATATTTAGTTTGTCTGTAAAAAGATTAATAAAAGTTACCTGTCTCATTGTATTAGGATGAAAGGGAACAATTGAAACAAACTGTTTTAATCCTATTAGTATAGGACCATCATTGTCTGTCGAAGACAACATTGGAGATTGCATGTAGGATTTTAAAAATATCTCTAGATCTCCAGGGTATGTAGCACTAGATGATATTACTTGCTTATTATATGGGAGTTTGCAGAATATATAACTAAAAATAATTTTAATAAAATCTATGATAATAAAAATGTTTAGAAATATTTTTAAGTAACATGGACATTTACTAATAAGTTATTACTTACTTAATATCAGCTTGAAAATTTTTTTCTAATAATTTGTCAGCTTCATCCAATACAAAACAGTGCACATGATCTATTTTTAAATAATTTTTATCAATTAAATGTTTTAATCTGCCAGGAGCTCCAATGGCTATATGACAAGATGTAATCTTTTTTTTATCAACATCTAATGAAGTACCACCAATAAAATATTCTACTTTCAAATCTGCATAATAAAAAAATTAAATGAAGTAAACAAGATTATTATAACTAAACTAAGTATCATCATGTAAAATAAAATAAAATTTATCATGTAAAATAAAAATGTCATGATTAATATTACCTTTCATTTTACATCCAATTGCTGATATAACTTCTTTAATTTGTATGGCTATTTCTCTTGTGGGTGCTACAATAATTACTTGAACTGATTTTATTTCAATATTAATTCCTTCTAATGCTATGACACCAAAAACTACCGTTTTTCCTGTACCAGATTTTGCTCGTACAATTAAATCTTAAAATGTAATAGATAAATTTACATCGATTCATTAAAGTGATAAGATACATATAATTATAAATATTCTTTACCAAATCCTAAACGTCCTAATGGAATAGATTTTAATTGAATTGGCGATGGTATTAAAAAACCACAACTTGAAAGGCCATCTAAAATTGTTTGTGACAAGCCCATTTGAGAAAAAGTCTCATTTTGTTCTACTTCTATATCACTTGTTCGTTCTTTAGCGGATAAATCATGAGCTATTGAAAGCGACATTTTATATTTAACTCAATAAATACCTGATTAATAAATATTACTTATTTACACTGTAAACCTTCATGACCGGCATGTCGGTATTTTCAGGTTATATTTTGATTTCGTGACACATTAACTCATGAGACTATATACATAGTGTATATATAGCCAGAGCTTTTCATGCCTCTCTAATCATAAGAACTGGCCGTCTCTGGCCGTCTATAAGCGTCTATATTCGTTGTATATATAAATGCACTGAACTTGCCTCTTAATAAATATAATTTTGTGTAAATAGCAGATAACTTCAATTAGTATAATGTATGTACAACTTGTTTATATTTTTAGACAATTATTGAAAAAAACTGATATTTTATAACATACAAAATGGAAAAATATAGGTATAACCTGTAATGATAATGATTGTTGATAACAATAGCAATAAATTTATATTAAAAAATATCTAGATAATAGAAAATATTTATATAACAGTAGAATAAAATGAATATCAGTACAGATTCAACAAGTCAATTTGAATCACGAAATCGTAGCAATAATGCTGATACAGATGCTTCAACTCCATCTTCTTCATCTGATTATATTACTGGGGATGCAGATGACAGCTCAGACAGCAAAGTACCCATACCTTGCACTTTGAAATCAGTTGAAAATCATTTATCTCTATCTAAGGTTGACATTGAACACAATTTATTTTTAATTCAATGTGGAATATGTGTTTATATCATAAATAAAAATTGTTTTAGGCAATGAATCAGGATGATTTGCAAGAAATGATAAATAAATGTAAGCAAATGGTTTTGGAAAGTGCAGAATGCTCTGAAGAACGAAAGTGGCTTGTTAGACGTTTGATTGAACTTCGACTGAGAGCTCAAGAACTGAGGGAGACATCAAATGAGAAATTTGTTGAAACTTGTGTTATTCTAGGGCATCACTTTTCACCTCAAAAGTATTACATTGCAACTACAGGTTCTGTGTACTGTGATCATTGCAGTGGTGGAATATGGACAATGTTGCAATCATGGTATATGTGTAATGGTGGGTAAAACAATATATTCTAATATTAGCACACGCTGCTTTTGAATATATTTGTTAAAATATTTTATTATTATCATTGTGCTTTTACAGATTGCGGTTTTAATTGTCATTTAAAATGCATGTCTAGCATTTGTAGAGTTTGTGTTCATGTGATTGCAAGTGAAGTTGGTGGTTATACTTACACCAAAGATATATGTCCTGAAAGAGGGTTGTCAGCACAAGGATACAGATGTGCTGAATGCAATATAAGAATTACTTTCAGTAAGTTGATAAGTACATTAACTTTGTATTAATTAGTAATATTTTTTATTGATGTATTGTGGGTATTTAAGTAAGTAAATACATCTATAAATTACAAGCTACCTCAAAAGGATTATCTTTGTCATGTTTTGGCAGTCCTTTTAAGTATACAGGTAACATTTCAAATGATAAAATAAGGATAGATAGTAGTATACTAATTATTAATGCTTTTTTAGTGTGTAGTATTGCCATAATGAATGTACCTTTTATCAGAAAGTAATCAAATTTTTATTTTTTCCCAGAATCAGGATCAATTGAACCTAAATTATGTGATTATAGTGGATTATATTATTGTCATCGATGTCATTGGAATTCATCAGCTGTTATACCGGCAAGAGTTATACGCAATTGGGATATAGAACCTAGAAAAGTTTCCCGTGCTGCTTTTCAACTATTGACACTCATGCAGAATAAGCCTGTTTTGATACTAGAAAATTTGAATCAAAAACTTTTTACATTAGTTCCTGACCTCTCGCTAATAAAAGTAAAAAACTTACGAATTTTTAAATGGCTTTTTGTTTAGAAGTTGAATTATATACAACATGCATTTTTAGAGACTTAGAGAAGAATTGCAAATGATGAAACAGTATCTCGTGGTTTGCCCGGACGCGTCAAATCAAGGATTACCATGGAAATCGGGGCTTCGAACTCATATGCTTGAAAGCTCTATTAATTATTCTGTTAAAGATCTCATTGACCTTCACAGTGGAGTTTTAATGGATGAAATTCAAGTAGCTTATGATAGCATGAAAAATCACATTACTGAAACGTGTCAACTTTGCAGAGGAAGGTAAATCAATTGATTTTATTCAATACCAAAATTACAAAGTAATTTGTAATGGATATTTAATATTTACAAAACAGAGGACATCGTTGTGAAATATGTGGTAATATCGAAATAATCTATCCGTGGGATACGACTGCTACGACGTGTCAAATTTGTAAAGCGGTATACCACCGACTGTGCCGATCCAAACGTAATCACTCTTGCCCTAAGTGTTTACGAATACAAAAAAGAAAAGATAATAACCAAGTAGATACAGAAATAATCAAAGAAGAGGATGAAGATAATTGTGATAAGTAAAAGTAATTATTTACATTTTTTAAATTAGCTTTAACTATGCAACAAAAGCTTGCATCAGTTACTTTAAAGTGGACGCTACAAGATTCATACATTATTTTTATACATATTTCAAGTTTACATATAATTACTGCTGCTTGAGAATATATCGGTCGCAAAAATTTTACCATTGTATATGTATTTCTATGATAGGGTAAATAAGATCAGTATGTACCTATTTTTATCTGTATTTAGCGTTTTTTTAATATATCTATCCAGAAGAGTCAACAACATTTCACTGCTGGAAATATTGTTATTAACAAAGTAATTTGAAAATAATTTGTTAAATTTATTATGTTTGTTCGATTAGAAATTATGAAATAAATATTTGCTACTAATTTATTACGTAAAATACATTTTTATTTAAAAGCACGTCCAATCAAAATAAAATTTTTCCCACATTAATTTTTAAAGATATGGCAGCAAATGTATATAAACAATCAAGGGCAGTGTTAAATACTATTTTATTTCGGAGTAATTAGTGCACCTAGTTTACCGTATATTTTGTTGAATCGGCATAGATCATTTTTCGATAGACTAATGAGTAAATGTTAGAAGTTGTGCCAGTTTGGCCTTGACATTCGTTTAGATTTGGCGAATTAATTTCCGGCTCTCGATGGCTCGGTGTGGCTACAAGAGAGAAATAAAGGAACGCTGGATCTTAAGATCAGCGAACATTCGACGCGCAACCGCTGAACTGTCTACAAGTAACGAATCAGGCTAAAGGTAAAAATATTATGACAACTTTTATAACAAATAAATTAGCATAATCTGTAAATATATCGATTTTAATCACAGATTAAAATCATATCTAAGAAAATTATGTTTCTAACATTATACACATAGAAATCATTCTAATTTAAATCTATACGCGTATGATTGAGTTATATTAAAAACTTTATTTTTATTTTATTCAATTAACTTATTTTTCGTGTACATAAGCATAGATCAGTTTGAGTGATACAATATTTTCTCTTAGATTTATTTATTTTTGTCGCATCAACAAACTATCTTTTAAGATATCTATATATTAGTTATACATTGTGAATGTGTAAATAATAGCGTCAAAACATGACACGCTGTGACGCATATAGCATACTAGTGATAACTTTCAAGTATCGGTTTTTACAATCGAACAGAGTAATTTCAATTTCTGAATTTTTTTCATTTTTGATTAACTTTCCATTTGTTTTGAAATTTTCATCTTTATTAAATCGTCTGCTTTAGAATGCTATATGTATTCAGGACTGAAGATGTAAATTTAACTTTGCAAGTTTTATATAAAATAGAGTATAGATGCAAACAATTAAATTTTGAAAACAGTGTTAAAATATAATGAATAATAATTGTGAAATATTTAAAAATATTTAATAATTTATGACACCGACTAAAATCGATAAAAAGTAGAATTGACAGAAACCTTTAATAATACGTTGCGTCGAAATATCAATATACTTTTTCAGAAGAGGTCTTATGCATGATGAAGAATTTTTTCAATGACCTCCATTCGAAATTAGTCCCCCCGGACGAATCGAGATAAACTAAATCTTTCTAAATTCGAACTTTGAATACGTAGTTTGTTCACCTTTCGACCGCAGATGATTGCACTATAATTATAAGCGTCAAATGAGGAATGAACTCGCTTTTATTGGTTTATTACGCAAACGCAAGGTCAAAAAAGAATTTATATAGTAGGCGATGCACATCGATATAGGCGTTTCACATTTCGACACAATTTTTTGTTCACGCTTAATGCCCGCGTGTGCGAGGTGCGTAACTCTCGCGCCGTTCATATAATAATCACACTTACCAATTGAAAGGCTTGCTAGTTTTCAAAGTTGCGCGTTAACTCCTGATGCGAGATCCGAGAAAAAATAATCGCCTAAAAATTCCGTTCACCGGGTCGTAGCTTCCTCACGCGCTTACTCCATAAAAAAGGACCCTTTGCGTCGCGGTGCACCGTCTTTAGAGAACGTCACTTTCTTTCGCAAAAAATCATCAGTTTGTACTCCGCGGTCGTACGAACGCGATGGTTTTGAATGTACAAACTCTTGCATAGCTTTTTCGCACTTTTAAAAAGTGAATTATCTAGTTTTGTACATGTTATTTGTGTCGTTTTAAGTGTTTGTTGACATTTTAAAGAATATTCTACACGAACAATAGTTTATAGAACAATTGAAGTACATTCAACCTTATTTCACTTAATTCTATTGTCATTTTTTGTGATGAACAGAAGTGTAAGTGCATTTGAGAAATTTATTTATTTTCATTTGTATTTTATATATTGTTGTTATAGAAAAGTACTTATTTATTTATTAAGATATTAATAAGTAAATTTTATAATTGTTAATTATAGAATAGCCATCAAGAAAAATTTATGTGAATTGTTTTAACAAAGGTTAAATGTTAACATTTAAATTAGTTTTTATAATTTACATAAGTTGAGTTATTAATCTGTCTGTTTTAAATTATCGTTAGTTAACCGAGACAATTGTCTCGAAAAACCGATTGATAACTTAAATTAATTATTGTAGACCAAGCAGTTAACAATTTTTAATAATTTACGTATCGTAGACATTCAACTACTGTGATATCATTCAATCAACACATAAATTTTTGTTTAATATCAACCCTAAGGTTTTTATTTCAAGTACATTTATTCATAGTATATTTCTTTTCTGATAGTCATTTTATTATCAGTTTGAATTATATGCCTTAAAGTTTTCGAATGCAAAGTAGGCACGCGCAAGCGAATTCGAAATTTCATAAATATTCAATAAGAATTAATTAGCGACACTACGAAAACTAAAGTATTAGGCCGACGACTAGCTAGCGATCAATTGTATAAATAAAATTTTTGCATCTACTTTGCACGAGGTCGAATATAATTATATGGTTAATGAAACTAAGTCGACTAAGCAATATTTAACACACGACATGTGTGACAGGGAGAGACAGTGAGAAAAGCAGCAAAACATGACGAAACTGTGGCTGCGGTGCATCCTTGCCTTTCATATGGCCTTCCTCATCCTGGCTGTGGCCAACTGCCAATTTGAGGATGATGAGGATGATGAGTTATCATCGGATGATGCCAGTTTGACAAGCGATTACGATGAAGAAACACCGGAGACGGAAACATCGGAATACACCGATAACCGCATTGACGCGGCACCTACGTTCGTCTCGCCAGTAGAGAAATTCATTAGAGCTATCACCGTTTCTTTCGGATGGATAACTCAAACAACCAGCGCTCGATCTTCCGTCGATCGAAATTTTTCCGAAACATCGAGAATCTTTCATGGGTTTCCCAATATTTTCGCTGAAACTACCGACAGATCCGATAGAAGTGGCTTTAGCGATGTACTAAACATGATCGGCGACAGGTTCAAGGCTGTTTATCCAGGTACGCAATATCCTAATAATAAAGTTACGTGATTCAACCGAATTTAAATGTCTGAAGGTTTTTGTTGTTAAACCTTTTAAAAGGAATGCTGGTTAACGATATCTCAATTTTATGGCAAGTGCCTTGACACTACCACGAAAGGCAGTTAATTGTAAGCCTCGCGGTCTTTGCATAGCTTAATCATCTGCCTTACCTCCGTGCGTGTTCTTTCAATTGTGTTTTTTATTCCTCTAATTTTTTATTTACCTTTATATATTATCCATTGACATATTTTTTCTTGATATTTCAAAGAATGGAAAATGATTGTAGTAATAGTACCATTTCTAGATTGATTGATATACTGATATATTGATTAATAGAAGATGAAATTTATATTTTCCAGTAAGATGAGAAGTTGTATTATGTAACTGCGATTAAAAGCCCTAAAATTATTTGATGTAAAATTGCACTTTCAAGCCATAAAAATTATATTTTAAATTCGAAATTCTTGTACAAATAATAACTTAATGTACGTTGTTTATAACTTTTGATTTATAAGTCTAGCCGCTTGAAATATTCAAATGATCGTTTAAAGCATCCTCATTACACAGGTATGACGAATCAAACCGACCAAGATTTCATTAATTTTATTATTGATCATTCTATTAACATTTTCTCTCTTTCGCTCTTATTATCCTATCTGCGCGATTTGACGTCGCAAGCGTTATTAATAATATTTATCGATGCGCAGGCCATGAACTGTCTACACAACTATTAATGTATTACTTGTACTAAAATAATACGTGTCAAGGTCTCTGAAGCTAACTCCATTAATAAAATTTCATAAAAAGATTTGATTGGCAACTTTCTAAAATAGAATGAATATCGCATGCGCATAAAGAAGGCGCTTCTTTCAAATTCAGGTACGGAATGGTGCGGCGCAGGAAATGTCGCGAAAAACGCAGGCGAGATTGGCCTGTTTAAGAAAACCGATAGCTGCTGCAAAGAGCACGATCAGTGTAATGTCAGCTTGGAAGCGGGCACATCCGAGCGCGGTTTGCGAAACAACGGAATTTTCACCAGGTATAACACGCGTCTCTTAGTAATTCCACAGAACAAACTTGGCCGCAATTATGATGAAATGCCAATCGACAACCAGAAGCGCGGCGCCGTCGCAGAATGCAAGCCACATTATCTTGGCGTTTTGGTGGAATTTAATGACTCATGATACTATAGCATTTAGGTGGCTAATAGCTGCGTGCGAGTCGGCATTTTAAAATCTTCACTCAATTGCAGGTCTCACTGTCTGTGCGATGCAAAGTTTTATTATTGCTTGAAGGAAGCTCGCTCGATAGTGGCTACAAATATTGGCGTCACCTACTTCAACATCCTCAGGCCGCAATGCTTCAAGTACGAGCACCCAGCGCTTTGCGCCAAGTATGGAAGGTACACTTAGACAGTTAACATTTGCAGTCCCATACACTCCGTTAACATTCAAGTTTATTTTTCTTACCATCACTAAACTTCAGTTACGTAATTTGCAGTTTTTAAAGTTGCTAACGATTTGAGTGTCAAAGTATTACTTACAAATCATTCACCGCTATATCCACTTCACTTTTGAAAATATAAAAAAGGTTTTATTCAATTTTAGGAGCAGACTGAGGAACAATAAATGTTTAACGTACAGTTACAACTATTTTCTAACAAAAACGTGGCAGTGGTTTGATAGCCCAGATTTTTTGTAAATCACTTCACATTGTACATAAGCACTTTTATTTTTATTTATTATATATATTTATTATATGTTGTTGCCTACGTGAATAAGTTGTTGAATAAAATATTTTTATCAATCAGTTTATCATTCATTACGCCAATATATTCCAAATTATATTTATTTAATCCAGTTATATTCTAAATATATACAAATAAAAAGTATTTTAGTACTAATGAAAGTAATTTAAAACCATTTTAATTCTTAATAATAATATTAAGAATTTCTGCCATACATTCTATCAATTTATGCTATAATAATATAACTAATGAAAAAGTTGTTGCGTCAATTTCTAGATTAAAGAAATTGTAATAAAAAGATGTAACCAGCAGATCGCTTCATTCTATCGCTACTTAAAGAATTACATAAGTCTTTCTCCATTCATTGTACTCTATTGGCTTACCATTAACTCTCGGATTTCGTTCGTATAATTAAACCTATATATCGTTCTTGAGTAACCACTTGCGAACTTTAATTAAACTCACAATTCTTACTTTCATTTCAACGAGTTTTTTTCGTTCTTTTAATCGATTCGACTAGTAATTTCTATTTACATGCGAAGATTACCATGTATTGGATCATAGCTTTTAACAGAAGGCAATGCACACTTTGGAACATATCGAATGATTTATTTACTCATGCATAATAATAAGTATAATTAGTGCATATAGCTTTGAAAGTTGAGCGTCCTATAACTCTTACTGGGAGGTTTCTGGTATCTCTAAAGATATGCCTTTGGGCGCTATACCTCTTTTGATTACGTGGGGAATTTGTTTCGGTACCATACTGAAACAAAGAAGGTAATTACATTCACGGCTCCGAAATGGCTGCATTATGTAACACGATTGTTAAAAACTCACTTTATACAGTCAATAATCGGACAGACAGATAGACAAAGAGTGCATCCAGTGCAATCGTCTGTCACCCTGGGTATATGAGTTTTTGGGTCGAACGTAATTGCTTGGTAACCAGAGTCAGCGCAGGCCATATAGCATTTTCCGCAATTGATGCACATATCCTAGAGCAGATCGTCAAATAAGATGCACGAAAAAATGTTGCCAGTTAAGCATCGCGACGATAGATCTAGAGTACATACGTCATCGATAAGAGCGACCACTTGTTTTTTATTATCGAGCTCATTGTAAGTACCGATGTGAGATAATGCTTTTCCAATCACGTCTTTCACAGTTGGGACTGGCATCACCGGTCGTGGTGCCGGTCTAGTTGACGGTAGGCCCGCTTCCAGTAGATTAGAGTTTTCCTTAATTACAGCAGCTTTCTGTTCACGTAACTTGAGATACTCTCCGAAATGCGGTATATTCTGCGTGAAATGGAATATTTTTCTCAACTGTATGATTAGCAATTTATGCGAAAAAAAATCGTTTTTCTGAATTAGCTCACCTTTCCCAGAGCATGCTGGAGAGAAACAGGTTTTCCTTTTTGATGTTTGAACGTTGGCGGACTTTGACCATCCCAATCTTTCAAATGACCTACACTCTTTAAATACAGCAAAGCTTTTAAACCTGTTGTATAATCATCTATGAGCGTGAAATCTTGATTTTGAATTGCGCTTCCCACCTGATATGATAAAAATGATCCAATCAAATTTGAATCAAAAACAAGAAATATCAGCTCTAAATTAAGAAGATAAATAAGGTATCGCATACTTGTAAAACTGAGGCACCGCATTGAAGGAATTGTAAGGATACTTCGGCAGAATCAATGCCCCCGATCCCGAGAATAGGAAAACCCGGAAGTGCTTTTGCCACTTTTGATATGGCTTGCAAAGCCATTGGTCGCGTTGCATTTCCGGAAACGCCTCCATACGTTGTTGCTTTCGCTGGACCGACTGCAGGCCAAGGGATTCCATCGGCTTTAACGCTCATGAGTCCTTGCACGGTATTTATTGCCGAGACACCGTCGGCTTTACCTGTGAATAAATAAGCATATATCCGTTATTTTCTATTCTTGCATGTTTCAATAATTATTTATGATGACTTTAAGAACGTTGTTGATTCATACATCATATATAAAATATTAATCTAACAGTATAATATATTTTTCATATCAGTAAAATGGAAAAAAAAATTGGTAACAGATTTTTATAATAATTATAATTTTATAAAAATTATATTTTTATAATAATGATACCTTCGTAAGCAGCCTTTGCAATGGATACAATGTCGGTTATGTTAGGTGTAAGTTTGATGAAAAACGGTATTTTAATTATTGCTCGAACCCACCTGGCGATGTTTCTGACTAGCTCGGGATTCTAAAACCACGGCGTATCAATAGGATATTTATGAAATTATAAACATATATAAGCAATATATCAAGTAAATCGTTTGTGACAAACCTGCCCACAAGCTAAACCCATTCCTCTCTCACCCATTCCATGAGGACAAGATAAGTTCAATTCTAATGCATCTGCTCCGGAAGTTTCTGCCATTTGTGCTAATTCTGTCCAATCTTCTTTGTTGTAAGTACACATAATACTAGCTATAACTATCTTCAATCACAAAAATGTTTAATCAGATTTTCATTGAAACAATTTGTTCTTCAAATACACTAATTAAAAATTTTTAAATTATGGATTAGATACAACAATATACTTTTACGCGGAATACCTTTGTTGGATAGTCTTGTTTCAGTTCTGTAATACCCTTACACCAGTAAGCCGCAGTTTTTTCTGATATTAATTCAATATTCAAGAAACTGGTTTGTTCCGGGCCATAATGATATCCGTCGCTAGTACCTTTAACTATTCGGGGTGAAATATTTGTAACCAAATCCTGAAACAAGTCAACATTTAAAAAAAATATAAGACATAATAATTGAATAATTAGTCATTTTTTAAAAAAACCTTGTCTAATCCAAATGTTTTCGTAACAGCGAATCCCCAACCTGCTTCGAAAGCTCTACGAATCATTGCACACGATGTTGCAGGTGGTGCAGATGCCAAACCAAAAGGATTTTCAAACTTTATGCCACATACTTCAACACTTAGATCAACGTCGTCGATTGGTGTATGAAACTTCGGTAACTGTGGCTGGTTTGATACCGAAAGACAGTAAGATTCCTATAAAAATATAATAAATTTTCAACTTCTTTAACTCTAATATAATTATTCCCACCAAAATCTAAATGTACACGTTATTAAATTTAAACAGCTTGAGATTTTATTACAAAAACCAGCTAAAAGTGTAACTCCATTGTTGAAAATATTCACGAACTTATTTATCGATTTATTTTACCATTATCATTATAACAAGTCTCTATTTCCGGGAATATACATTTATATACATATATCATTACTATGTATGGTATGTGTATGTGTGTGTGTTTTATATCGTTTTTGTATATTTTACTAAAACGATGCTTTCTCTTGTGTTTCTTTGAAACTTTGACGTAGGTCTGAAAATAAAATAAAATGACAGCTTCATAGCACTTTTTTTTCATATACTAGTGATCTAGCGCTGATCTTTTTCGTTTTTTCTTTTCTTTTTTTTCATTTACGAGCTTATTGCGAGCTTATAGTTCACAACTAAATCAACATTATTAAATGCTTTACCCCGATTTTTCAAAAAGAGATTGTTCCTTAGGGCGTAAAAAAACTATATTATAAAAATTTGATGCGAAAGATCTCTGAAAATTTGAAAAATCAATGAAAATTAAAAAAATTTCATCTTTTTGTAAATAACTTGTCAACAGTGGGAAATATCCGGTAATGTTTAGTATAAAAATTGTAGAGCATTATATTTTGTAAATTGTTTTTTAAACTCGTTATTGTAAATGAAAGATATAAAGTAATTACAAATGTCAAAAATCGAAAAAATGTAAAAATGTAAATAAGTAAAATTTCTCACATTTTTTAAAATGCACTTGTTCATGTATTTATATATCCTTTTATCTAGTGATTGTTGATTAACCCGAGATATACAAAAAAATTTTCAACTTCATGTACAGTACATAGATTGTTTTTATTTCTAAAAGTATCATGTAGGTCCGAAGATATGATAAATGAACGAAATTAATCCGAGTCGTTGCACTGTGGCTCACAAAAGCACAAGCCGCCAGGGTGGTCATTGGTATAATTGCTTTCTGCTCTTGTACTAACTTGGCTCTATTCTCGGTTCTAATGAATATTTTTATACCTGTAAAGAGCCATTGTATCTCTCGGAAAAAATTCATTTCATTACAAAAAAGGTGGCAGTGCATTAAACAATTGATTCGTTGTCAGAACGTGCTTTTTTGGTAATTAAACAATATCTCCTAAATAAATGTTTTTGTAATTCGAACAGACTAATAGATTGATTGAAAAGTAATGAATAATCAGGTTGGTTGACGATTTGTTAAAAAAAATTTGTTGGAAAAAAAATTATAACGGGTTGAATAATTAGTCGCATGCTAAAATCGCTTTTCGTTACTTAAATAGTAATATGTCGGTTTATAATTTAAATATTTTGTATTTTCAAAATCCCGCGGATTCATTATAAAATGATGCATCTATTTTCAGTTTCAATTAATGCAACTATCTTAACAAAGATATAGCGTTATAAACATTTAAATTGTTCATTTAATTGTTTAATTTAGCTGAAAGAGACGACTCGTTCAGCTAAATTAACAATACGAATATCGACGACCTTCGATATTTATATTTAGAAAGTTAAAATACATCTAGAAAACCGAGATGGTTTGTCTCTTTTACATCCACCACCGTCTAATTTCCTTTGTAACCTTTGCTCTTTTGCCATCAAAGCAATTAATTTTCTAACTTTTTTGTTGTTCTTCGCATTCGACTTTTCCTCGATTTTCTAAATTCTTTGCATGTACGCTTCAACATGGCGATTTTACGATAATCAACGACTCTTCGCAGGTTTATAAGTATAGACACCGAGCTATTGTCTCTTCCCTCTCGCTTTCCGTAAGTGATTTCCCATAAGAGGGATGCTGTAGCCAAAATCCTATTATGTAGGATAGTATAAAATTAATAGGATAGTGTATAATTAATGCCTTAATCAAGTACTGTCGTGTGTTGTTCATCTTCAATGAAAATTTATCACGTCTATATATTTGTATCCGAAAAGTCAAATTCAAGATCATCATTAAATAGCCAAGGAAAAATCCTATCATTTTTTTTATGATATTTTTTTCTGAAAATTCATTCTCGCCGAGTAATCATGCAGTCCCGAAACTTTTAAAACACCCTGAACACACACACACACACACACGCGCGCGCATGCACATACACACACACACACACCAAACGAATACGTATATTATTTTCAATATCGCACCTGTATGTATTTATGAATAAACCAGGAGGCAGTTTTTCCGTCATTAACTGATTCTACAGTTGTTTGTGATATACCGGCAAGGTCGCCACCGCAGAAAACTCCTATCACCGATGTTGCCATTGTACTTTCATCGACTTCTGGTATTCCCCATTTATTAAGTTTTACTGGTTCAAGAGCTTTTTTAACTGAAGAAAAAAAGAAATAATTTAAAACGAATTATTCAAAAATCAACGAAAATTCTACAAAAAAATGATTTTACCTGATTTATCATAAAGTCCGGAACCAAAAGCAGATATAATAAAATTAGCTTTTAACCTGATCGATTGATCTTCGTCCTCTTTCCATTGTCCATTTTTATCTTGCTCCGTTCTATAAAACTCAATAGCGATAATCTTGGAATCTTTTATTATAACTTTTTTTGGCGATGCAAACGGTATAAATTCACATTTTTCATCTTTTGCCAATTCCATCTGAAATATTATGAATAATAGCCCATATTTATTTGTGAATTTATAACAAATGATTAAGGCAATTGGATGAAGCTTTTTTTACTTCTTCAGGTACTGCACGAATATTGGTGAAACCGCGTCGAAAAACCACGAAGACTTTTCTTGCTCCGCATCTCAAAGCCGATGTAGCACAATCAAATGCAGTATCGCCAGCACCTAACACGATTACGTTACCGAAAAGATTAGGCAAGCCAGTTGATTTGCAAGTACAAATTCCTGGTTTACTGCCTTTCGAAACGGCTGGCAAGAAGTTTTTAGAAGTAAAAAACCCCATTTCTTGAGTCAGGTCTTTGAAAATTGGCGCTACGTTAGGTTCCGGTAATCCAAACCCGAGAAATATCGCTTTGTACCCAGACTTTTGTAGTTTCTACAACAGATTTCGTTACTTGATTGTTGGTCTGATGCTTACGTGATCAATTGATTGATTTATTATACCTTTATAGTAAGATCATTTTCAGACAATTCTCGTCCACATTCGATTTTCACACCTAAATCTTTGACGAGATCAACTTCGAAAGATACCGCATCAAATGGTAGTCGATACTGCGGGATTTCAGCGCTACTCAACCCGCCAACATAATTTTGCTTTTCAAATATGGTAATGTTATCATAGCCCAATCGAGCCAAAAAGGTGGCGCACGACAGTGCCGCTGGACCGGCACCGATCATAGCGATTTTTGTTTCGGAATGGGGAACCGTTTGTCCAGGTATTCTCGTTTGTGGTATATTCATTTTTTTAAATATCTGAAATAAAATATTACCGTAAAGATTGTAACAATTTTTCAAATAGCAAATTTTGAGAAATAGTTCAATAATTTAATAGTTATTAATGTCCTTTTCTAAATAGTGCAAGTTTCTACGACAAAGATCAATAGTACTCTAAAAAAATAACTCAATAATTAAATTTTGTTAGTTGTAAAAAAACTTAGAAAATTTTTTTGTTATGCCAGAGGTTGTTTTTAGATTTTTGCAACATAACATGGCTGTATTTCTAATATGAAATTGAGATAAAGAACCGCTAACGATTTGTGATGGCACGATGATAAAATGTATGAAGTTTTCTCATTTTGATTCTGATATATCATGGAAATACTTCAATATAAGAAATAAGTAAAAATATGCATAGAATATTATAGAGCATATCAAAATTTTCATTGCAAGATAAGACAAGTACGTTCACGTATGCGATTTTTTCTGCTAACGTTTATCAGCTTTAGTAAACAAATATTATCTGTTGACTTTCACTATCAAATATTTTACCGTAATCTAAAAAAATTCAAAGTTGATTATTTTTGTGTACATTAGAAAGAGAGAATCGACATAAAGTAATGTCTGCTTATATTTATACACTGACAGTATCGTCAGTGTTGAATGAATCGCATCTGCAAAGATTAATCAAACGTTAGATAACAGCGCGCAAAAATCCATCTTGATTACACGGATTCAAAAACAACGTTCATAAAACACGAGTAATAGTTTTCGATAAATTCATGTGGCAGATTGTCGCATTTGCATTTCAAGATTGAAAATAAATGCTTATTTAACCGTTAAAATTTTGAAAATTAATTTCACTGTTCATTTCGAGAACAACTTACATCTGTGGCGAATTGTTGCAAACCACCGATATTAATTGGACCCTCTTCAGAAGCGTATAAGTTGCATCCTCCTACGCAAAGGTCACTCGTTGGGCAAACCATACCGCAAGTCAAACCCAATGGGTTATCGGAGAAAATTGCTTTCGCAGCACCGTAATAATTTTTGTTTGATATCGAGGTGATAAAAGATTTTATATCCAGCTGCGTGGGGCATGACTTTTGACATGGAGCATCGGCACACTTGAGGCAGCGCGAAGCTTCGTATAAAGCTCCACGTTCACTTAAAGTTGTACGTTTAATGTCATCGAAATTTTTGGTCAATGGAATGCAACTCTGAAAAATTTTCATACTATTATTTATAATTTTAATAACTTTTTTCTATAATTAGCGAAAGTTCAAGGTATATAATAGGAAAAAATCGAATTTAAATTATAACTATTAAGATGTATGTAAAAAAATAACTTTTAGAAATGTGTATGTAACTTAAATTGTTATTCTTTATCTTATTTTCTCATTACTTCGTCGTTCAAGGTCTCCACCATTTGCCGCGTTTTCTTATACGTACGTGTACTATCAGGAGTGGAATGCGAATAGCGCATTTTACATAAATTTTACTTACATCGCACTTTGAATGGATATTTCTCTTCCAGTGTTTCTTATTTTCTTTGGTTTGAATGGACGGCACAACGCTAGCGTAAACTTTTGATCGTGGATTCAAGCCAAGCAAATTCTTTAAAAAATAATTAGTTATGTTCAATTGACAATAAATCAAAAGTAGTTTCATTCTTGTGAAGTTGAACGCTTTTTAATAGATACAACTCACTTCGATATCTGGAATGTCTTTAGACACCATTATTGAAGTTCCTGCAGCCATTATTTGTTAAACAAACTGGTAAATAATTAAATTAAGAGATATATTTCGCTAAATTTGCTCGTTTACGAGACTACGCTCAATCTATTCCTAATATTTTTTTCAACCGTAGCAATTTAAAATTATCCAAAAGAAGTAAAAACTTAAACTAGCTGTAATTTTGTAAATAAATTATTGAAATAATTAACAGCTATACTGGTAACTGAAGCAACTGACTCCGAGTTACTAAACAATGACTGTATTACAAACAAAACATGTTAACGCTCAAGTAGTTTTTCTACGACTGGTTTACCCGGGGAAAGGCAGTAGTGGAGAAGTGAATGCAACAATCACATGTGTGTACCACGTGACTTTGATGAAATCATATCAGTGGTGATCAACTTATATTGCGATCTCTGTTTTCCAATTGATATTATGAGAAAAATTCAATATGACCCCATAGTTACTTGCATTTATCATTGAATAATAAACTTTTCTAATTATATATATATATCAAAATTTTTATAATAATCGAAATAACTAAAGTAAATTGAAATGTGATAAAATAAATGAAAAATATGATAAATGTTTTAAAATTATTCTACTTCATTAATGAGTATGTGGTGTTAAAAAATGAATTAAATTAAAGACAATATGGCACAGTTGTTAATAAATTACTTTCAACAATGAATATACTAATATAAATAATTCATTTCAGAAAAATAAACAGAAAAGATAAATTAGTATCAATATAGTTTACATATCATCACACTATATACATATTGAATATAAAATATTATGCATGTAATTCCCATTGCATATAGCAATGTACGTTGTTTACGTGAAAACATTGTTAATAATTAGATTCTAATGGATTTATGTAATTATTTAAAAATTTCTTTTTTGAATAATTCTGATATAATGTCACTAAATTTTCGATTTTATTAAAAGTTGTTATTCGAAATACACACATTAGATGGATTTCAAACATCATGTAAGTATCAGTATGATGTACTTCAAGATATCCTATAAGTATAATTCCTCAATGCGCACCGTGCGATGGTGGTGTAATGGTCAGCATAGTTGCCTTCCAAGCAGTTGATCCGGGTTCGATTCCCGGCCATCGCACATTTTTTTATTATTCAAATTATTTTATATTAATTATTAATTAATTATACATTAATTATTCATATATATATATATACACACACACACATATATATATATAACGTATACAATATCGACAAAATTTTCTTCTACTTTCAACCTACAATGCCTTTGTCTTTAAAATAAAAATTGTTTATCAAATTAAAAAAAAAACTAAAATTTTATTAAATAGAAAGAAATAAAAGAATGAAAATAAGTATTTAAATACACAAGGACTACTTTATTATGAACTGGTATAAAAAACGCATACAGAATAAATTTTTAAACATATAAATTAGAAGTCAATAATACAAATATTAATAACTTAACTAATGTGTAATTGTATTTCTCTAATGTTCAGAAAGTAATCGATTCTTTATTACTTTACAAATATTATTAATATTGTCGTGAATATCAAACTTTGAAGATGGGGCCATGTATTTGCCATTGAATACAGTTAATACAGTCATGGATTCATTATATTTTAAGTCAGGTAATAGCTGAAAATGAGAAATTTTGTAATTGATTCAATAATGATGAATTAAAATATTGTTTGTAAAACATCAAATAATATAAAGTATAAATCAGTGTACGTCTAATTTGACGTACCTTTGGAGTAAGCAAGAAATATTGGGCACTGTTATTTACACTTGTAATGTCAACAATCAGTTCAAAAACTCGGCGCTCGTTTGCAGCATCCATACCCTGAAAAAATATGATAAAGATAATGAAAAGTAACTTAAACATAATAAATACATTTCAATGGAACAGCAGAAATTCAATATACCTGATTAATTTCATCAACGCAGCGGAAAGGAACTCTGGTTAACTCTTGCAACGAAATCATATACGCTGCAGTAGTGACGGCGCGCTCTCCGCCGCTTTGGTGATTGCGATTTAGTGGTTGTAACTCATCTGTATCTCGAAACTTGACTTTGATTAAAAGTCCATATTTTGCAAAATCCATCTTTAAAAAATAAATATTGCAATTTAAATCATTTATAATATTTTATATTTATTGTTCACTTACAGGAGTGCCTCCATCAATCAAAGACACTTCTCCTGCACACTTCATTTTAGTAAAGCAATAACTGAAATTTCTGTTAATTTTTTCTACTAACTCATTCAACATTGGAAGCCATTTTTGTTTGACTTGATCAATTTCTTCAGATACTGTTCTCAATTCTGTTTCTTTGATGTTTATATCATTAACGCATTTTTCTACATTTTTCTTTGCAGTGTTATATTGATTCACTATCTATAATTTAATTATTTGATTTCATTTGATTTTAAATAAAAAAATATACAATAAATAATATTATACCTTTTGAGCTTCAGTTTTATCGTTTACATTAAATGCCTTTGCTTGCGTTCTTTGAATTTCGTCAATTATCTCTTCTAACGTTGCTGGTAACTTGGCGAAAACTCTTTGATATATTAAAAACTCTTCTTTGTCTTTGCAAGATACCCCATCAGTCATTTTCTTAGCCTCTTCAAATAAATTTTGTACTTCATCTCTCAATGGCTTTATTTCATTTTCTAAATATTTAAAATACCTCACAGCATTTTCATAATCTTGTCGTATTTCGTGCGAGTCATTTTCTTTTATTGCTAATTCATTTTTTTTAAGCTTTACGTCTATTTTTGATTCTTCATTAACAATAAAACTTTTATAATAAGCATCAAGTATTTCAGAATATTCTTTATATTTTTGAATTTGTTTCAATATGAATTGCTAATTTAATACAAAAATTTCTTTTAATATCAATGTTCACAGTACAACAATTACTTATTAAATTAATACATAAACTTACTTTAATTTTTGTTTTGTATTCTGCACGAATATCATCAACGCTTTTTCGACAATTTTGTTCTGCTATCAATTTTTGTTCATGTATCCTAATTTTTCTTTGTAATTCCTGTATCTTCCCTTTATCTATTTCCAACTTCCTTCTAATTTCTTTATGAGATAGTGCCTTCTGTTCTTCTTTGGCAATCTTTTCATTAAACGAATCTATTTTGGGCTGATACGAATTTTGCTCTTGCTCAAGTCGAGCTAATCTGATACGTTTATTAATAGGTATTATAATTATCCTAATTTGATGGCCATTGAAAATTAGAAACTTACTCATTTTGGATATGATTAATCCTTTGTGTATTGATTGTAATTGAAAGTAAACCTCTTGACGATATAGATGATTCACTGGTGCTCTTTTCACCAGTGTATTGGGAAAATTTTATATTATAGACTTTGTTAGCTAGAAAAAAAAAATTCTATTTCACAAGTGTTATTAGTCATATTAAAAGTAAATGAATGTACACTCACAACTAAAAAAAAAACGTATATTGTTAGGTATGTTTTCTAAATGGCGAAGAATGTTATCATTCCCTATTGGGATTGTATGGAGTTTGAAATTACTAATTAAATAATTTAAAATAGTTCTTGGAGCATCTATGAGAGACAACATGTAATGTTCGAAACCATATTGTCTCAGAACTTCTATGGGTACATTCGGCTCATCATTTATTTCTTTATTAGGATCTGAATGTACAGCATTTATTTTTAGTTTTTGTTGATCTCTAAGATGTCTCAATAATAAATTCATATCGTTCTTGTCTTCACAAACAAATGCAAACAAATCCCGCTGTGGAATGACAGATTCGAAATATTTTGCATACTTGGCATCTTTTAAATTAATCATAAGTATCATTGGTTCATAGATATGCTTTGAAAACAAGTGTTTATTTGATCTTAACCACATAAGTCCATTATATGCATCTCTATTTTCTCTCTGTAATATTCTCAATCTTTCAACTTCAATATTTTGTACTTCTTGCAGATTTTGTTGTTCCACTGAAGTGATATGTACACATACATGAATTATAATTACTTTTGAACTATAAATTAATGTTTTTATTACCTTTCATTCTTCTACTACAACTTTGTTTCTTTTCAATTAAAAGATTTTGTTGTCCTTTATAATGTTCAATCTGACTCTTATGATTATTTACTGTTTTAAATATAGAGGCCAATTCCGTTTCAATGGCTTCAACTTGAATATAATAGTATTTTAGTAAGTTATGGAACTTTATTAGTAGACTAATATATGTATAAATAATACAATATTTAAGTGAAATGTTACCTGATCCAACTTCATTTATTTTGTGCGTCAAATCATTCTCAAATTTGTTCTTCTGTTCAACTAATTCAGCTATTCGATAATCAGTTTCCTGTTCATTTCTAATTTTTTCCTGACATTCTTTTTCAGCATCATCAATCAATGTTTCAAATGTTTCGATATCATTTTGAAGTAGACCAAATTTTGTCAAAAAGTCGGAAGTTTTTGAATTCTGTAAATATTTTAGAAAAATATAGCAGATGATAATTTTATGCAAGTAATATACATACAGATAGAAAACAAATTAAAATAATGCTTTATTACTACAATAATCATCGTACTATTTGTTTTGCAGCTTTTTCTGTGATTTGGATTATTGCCTTTAATTTGACAATTTCTTGTTCAATTGGTCTCATTTTTTTTTCAAGTTTTTTTTTCGTTTCTTCAGCTTCATCTCTTTCAACTCTGGCCTTTCAAATTAGAAAAATATAATCAATCAATAAACAAATATGAATGAATAAATTAATTTAATTCAATTAAGACATTATTACCTTACTGAGATCTTGTCTTTTTTCATTATAAATTACCCAAGCCTTTTTCTGTTTTAATGTTTTCAATTTTTTTTCAATTGTCTTTTGTTCTTGAATATGTCCAACTTTGTCCTTCAATGTGTCACAAATTTGTTTTTCTTTTGTTATCAAACGTGTACTGCCTTCAAGTTGTTTTTCCAACTCAGCTTGGTTTGCTCTCAATACTTTCAGCTGTGTATGATACTCTAATAACTTAGGATCCCCTACAGATCTTTCGGTTTCTACTAAAAGATCCTGCGAGGATAAATTTGAGAATTCCTGTACTTTATCTTGTGGTAAAAATTGACAAAGATTGTCTACCTATTAGACAACATCAGTTTGTATTAAATTTTAAGATAGTAATGTATTAAATTTGTATTAAATTTGTATTAAGTTTGTATTAAATTTTAAGATTATAATGAAGAATACTATTTGACATTTTGTCAAATAATAGAGAAATATTTTTAAATATGTCAAAATTAATATGTCATACCTGTATATTAAACTGTTTCATCAAATCACCAACTACTTTGCCGTTGGAAATCTTATGATTAACGAACCAACTTGTGTGGCCTTGAATATTGAATTCTCTTTTAATTGTTACAATTTCGTTAGGACCATTTTGTAAATCAATTTCAATGCTAGCAAAATTTTGGCCTGCTTTCACAAAGTCTTTAATTGCAGTAGCTCGACCGATCACTTTTGGACTACCTCCTAAACCCAAAACAATAGCACTAACAATAGTAGATTTACCAGTACCATTGGCACCAATAATGAGATTTAGATGCTTTCCAGGTTTAACAACAACTTCATCATAAGTTCTAGAAATTTCAAATATTAAACATTGTAAAATTTATAAGAAATATACTTGATTTTTTGAAAAATTACACAAAATTTTTTAGAGCGATGCGAGTTATCACCCCCAAGTGATCGGCAGCTGTCATTGTAAATTTATTGGTCAACTCAGATTTTCGTTAAATTACATCACCTGAAAAACAATCTAATTAATATTTTGAATCAATAACATCAGTTATAAAAATAGGAAAGTGTGATCCTACAAATAATTTTTAAAATGATTTGCATGAAAACTTTTAAATGCAGTAGGTAATCCTACGTGAGTAGATTTTAATTACTAAACAACACGAATTGTTATCAATTCTGTAATACCAGGTAAACTGTAAATATTGGTCACTGAATAATCTATAAATTTTATTTTATTCTATATACGTATTGGTTGGTTCCCGTAGTTGCCGGTAGCTACCATAGCGCTTCCCATACGCATGGCAATCAACTGACTTTTAGCACTTGCGCGCTGAGAATGGAAGTTGGCGGAAAATTCAAAAGATAAATATGTAGAAGAAGAGGTCAGGAGTCATAAACAAAACTGGTTGTTGAAAGTTGAAACAAAGAGCTCGAAAGATCATAAATTAGATTAAATTAGATATAATGATGCGTCATATGAAAATATTTGCTTTTTTGAAGAATTTACACAGAATTTCTATAACAGATGGATTAGGGTTGAAAAGGAATTGTTAGTGCAATCACCAGAAATTCGTAGTTCTTGTTACTAATACCAACAATCGTAACAGATGATTAAATGTTGCTAACTGAGCAAACAAAATACAGTTTGTTAATCTCAAAATTATTTTACCGTTAACATAATTGTTATTTTTTATTATTAATGTGACTGAAGTTTAAAAAAATTTTGTTGTTCATCATAAATCTTGTTGATCATAAATTTTGTTGATCATAAATCAAACTATAATTTAAGTATATTCATGCATATTCATTTGTAAGTCATAACATTTTTCTGTGTAATAGATACAGGGCAGATAATATTAATTTGTTAATCAATTTAGAAGTTTAACTAGTCGAAGTAGGAATGCAATACATAGAATTAGTTGAACAAATAATTATGAGAACAAAAAGATTCAGAAGATGGTGGAGTAAGTCAGTTAGCGACATTTAATCTGTTGCGACTGTTGTTGGATTAGTAACTATAGACTACGAATTTCTAAGTGTACGTGTATATAAGTGACCGAGGCCTTAAAGTAAACTATCGAATCGAACATGGACACTATATACTCTCCATGGAATCGAAATTCCGCACTTGCGCGCCATCAAGCCTGTGCGTCCGGTTCCGAAAATTCAAGAAAACACGTGGTTTTCCATGTGTGCAAACCAGAAATCAGTAATAATTAAAATATGCATGTATTTGTAATACAAAATGTAATTTATAGTGTACGGTATTAGCTTGAAACTTTCTTCTATTAAAATTTCAATATTTCATTTTTATAAGTGACAAAAGTACTCTAAAAAAAATTAGACTAAGTTGGAGTTAACAAGGTATGTTTAATTTAGGTTATATTAGAATTATTGATATTCTTAATCCCTAATTAAATATTGTATCATATTTTTTAAAAGTAATGTCTTTTTATTAAAGTATATAATAAATTCATAATGGCCACATCTCTTGCGGAGCAACTTAAAAAATTGAGAACACCTCAAACAACATTGCTCTTACAAGATAAAAGAAAGCCTAGTTTGTTGTTTGATACGAAAGAAGCTGCAAATCTTGATAAGGATACTGTTTACAATATTGGTATGACTACTTATTTTATATTTAGACTTTGTTATTTGCCAAGTAAAAATGTCTACTAAAATCTATATCTAATCGAAAACTAAAAATATTTTTTATTAGGTTTGAGTGGTTTAGAAGAACTTATAAAATTAAATAATGCATTTGATGATTTTAAGAAGACACTTTTTGCTTTAAGTTCTATTAGTTTGGAAAGATCTGTACAGGATAACAAAATGAATCAAAAGTTAAATACAGAAATAGAAAAATTTCTTGTATTGTTGTCGCCATACTTTCTACTAAATACAGCTCATAAAGCTTTAGAATGGTTAATACATCGTTTTCATGTACATCAATTTAACAAGGATCATTATTTATTGTTAATTTTACCTTATCATGAATCACGTATTTTTGTCAGGTAATAATTATTCACACAATTGCTATAAAATCTTTTCTTCAAATTTTATATTATGCATGTTCATTAAAACTTTTTTTTGTTGTTTAGAGCCTTGCAATTATTGGACTTATCAGATCCAAGAGATAAGTGGCATTGGTTGAAGCCAATTCAAAAATCACGCTCACCATTATCTTCGATGTCCCTTGTAAATCAAGCAGTATCTGATAATGGATTTCTGAAGACTATATGTGATCATGTTATTTATGCAACAAAAATGTATTCAGATAAAGCTGACAGTTTAAATACTTTATATGCATTCTATACTACGATCACAGTTGGAAGAATTGAGCATTCCCACACTATTACAGATGTTCAATTTAATCACATGTTACCAGCTTTATTAAAAGGTTTATCATGTCAAACACCAGATTACGCAGCAAGTTCTTTTATGATTTTTTCAAAATTAATATCTAAAATACACATACAAGAAGAAACAATTGATCTTTTACTATTAAAATCTATAAAGAAACCAATATTAACTCGAGAAGTAGTCCTTCTTATTCTATTTCTTTATGACAATCCATTTAATACTTTGAACATAATTTCTGAAAGTTTCATGATTAGATTGTCTAAAAGACTATGGTTTATTGAAGTAATTGAGAAAGTTAAAAATTCAGGAGTCAAGGTTTCAAAATTTATCATATTACTGCTCAATACAGCACTCAACTTTATTGCACATAATGAAAAATCTGAAGACACTGAAGAAGTTAAACAATTGGTAGATGAAATTTTCAGACAAATTTCTTTTAAAGAAGAAGATGTATTATCAATTCTACAAAGCACTATGAGTAATGATGTTATATCAATTAAAAATTCCGATGCAGTACAAAGTTATTTTATAAATCTATATCAATCTGTTGAGAAGAAATATCCAGAATCATTCGATAAATATTTGCATGAGTTGATGCACATGAAAGAATCTAGTGAAAACACAAACAGTATTTTGAAATTTTTGATGTTATGGTACTCAAAAGCCGAAGAATCTTTAGATATATTTACTGGGCTCAATCATCATAATCCAGAACATAGAATTATAGCTATAAAAATGATTGGGAAGAAAAACATAAGTATACCTGAAAATCTTCAAGAAATTGTAAACAAGTCTTTGCTATCACGATTTCACGATGATGATGATAGAGTTATAAAAGCACTGTTAAATTTGCCTTTAAATTTATTACAAAATACTTTTGCTGTGGATACTCTGGTGGATGAATTAATAATTTTGGTTTCTAGATGTCATGCAGAAAACAAAAAAGACTTAGCCAAGTCTGCTCTGAAAGTTCTATTATCTTTTTGTGATGAAAGTGATGATATCAGTGTATTTTTAGTTACTGTTCCTTATTTATTTCCAACTAGAGATGAGGATGTAGGAATTGCAATGCAAATATTAAAATCTGACTTTGCTAAAAGAAACGCTTATTTTAAAAGAGTAGCTGTGGAGTTAGGAGAAGCAAAAGATGCAGAGTCTGTTAGATCAGTTGCTTTTCATAATATTTTAATTTCAGAGTTGTTGCCCCAAGCAGCTAATATTTTGAATGCAATAAAACAACAAATGGCACATGGAGATGCAGCATCAGTATTCTTCAACATGATAATATTAGGCTCTGTTTGTAGAGTACCAGTAGGGTCTCTCAAAACACAAATAGCTGGACAAGCAATTGAAATGGCTGCTGAGATGATGAATAAATTTCCAAGTATATTGCCTTTAAATGGTGCAACGCATATAAATGCTGATAAACTTTTTGATGCCTTGAAATATATTTACAAAGGACAATTGCCTCTACAAGTTAATACATATGTTTTAGAAATGGTTCACAGACGTTTGAATTTGAATAATAATTCAAAACTGGATTTTGAGGAAGATTTTGAAAGAAGTCAATTAATTCTTCGAGTCTTAGAAATTGTATTTGATGGAATGGTTTTGGATAAATGGCGTAAGAATTATTCTCAAATGAAGTCACATTATGATTGGTATCTAAAAATCTTTTTTCAAAGACACTTTAAAACTGTCGAAGACGTCATAAAGTTCCTTTCGCAGTTTTTTATTAAACCAGTAAAAGTACAAACATCACTCCACTGTTTACATATTTGTTTGGTACTTTTTGATGATTGTAAATCATTTCAGTGGATTTTTAATGACAGAAATTTTGTCATCAATTTATTGTTGACTCTCAGTTCTGAAAATAATACTTGCAGAGAAGTGGGAGTTGCTATATTGAAAAAATTATCACAAACTTTCAATATTTCTATGGAGGGATTTTCTGTGCTTCTGTTAGAACTTGCAGATCGTAGCACTGAAATATCACTCGATCATAATCAACTGTCCTTGCTTTTATACACACTTTTATCACCAGATCCAGATGTTAGCCACCAACTAAAAGCAGATGTGAGGCCTAAGTTAGAAAATGCTCGTGAATTATTATTTGAAGCAACTTTGTCAAATGACATCGCCATCCACATTCGTTCACAATTACTTGACATTTTAACATATGTTAATAGTCCTAAAATTTTAAAGAGATTAGTACCGTTAGGTTCTGAGCTACTGGAGAATGCAAACATTGAAGAAAAAATATTTGCTCAAAATGCTATGAGGAATGTAATTCAAAGATTTGATACTAGTTCAGTGACAGCATTGAAGAATAAAACAGTATGGAACTTTTTCATCAAATGTGCGACCACACATGATGTTAAGATCTCAATGGAAAATACAAAACAATATGTTAGTGTAATTTTAATAAAACAAATTGATAATAGATTTTTCTCAAAACTAGATAAATCAGCACAAAAAGAATTAATTGGAAAATTCATTGATGTTGTGACTGATTTTGATATTGATGCTGTTATTTCAACAATTACCAAGTTGATCAAAAAAATTAGTATAGATGCACAATTGGTAGTTGATGAGTTGAAAACTATGACAACTGTAAAAAATGATGATGTAAATAAAACTAAAGAACCAATGAGAAAGAGTAGAAGTATGAGAATTAGCTACCAGTACAATCCTGAGATGGTTAATAGCAGAAAATGGAGAAGAGGAGTAACATTATTAGAATTTATCCAACATTCTAACAATATTGAAAATGAAGAATTGTTAGTACCAGTTTTATTTGATTTATTAAAAACTTCATTGTGCTTTGAAGAACAAAGCCCTGTTGAGTACACAAATCAATTAGTTTTATCAACAATTTACCACTTAGCCATAAAAAATATAATAATTAAAAATGCAGATGCATATGTTGACTTGATTGCTCAGTGTATTAGGACATCTCAAAATCCTCAAACACATCATCATGCTTTATTAGTGCTGGTAGAATTGTTTAAATTAGCAGATATACAACAAGCAATACAAAATATTATGCCAATATTTACTTTTATGGGTAGTACTGTGTTAAGACAAGATGATGCTTATTCTATTCAAATAATATCGAAAACTATTGATACTATAATACCTATCATCAATTCTACAAAGAATATTGATCATGTCTGTGAGATTCTCAGGTTATTTATAACTTCTTTGCCAGATATACCAGAACATAGAAGATCGCCATTATTTTTAAAATTATTGCAATTGTTAGATAATTACTTACACTTGTATTATTTGCTGACCTTTGAGAGCCATGTTTTATCTAAACGCTTTGATAATTCTGAAGAGTTATCGTCTGATAGACTACGGTTTGCTTTAAGCATTTCTCAAAATTTTTCAGTAAAAAAGATTATTAGGATTTGTATTAAATTAGTTGAATTTTTAAAAGAATTACCTATTGACATTCAAGAAGGACAAAAAAATATCGATTTTAAGAGGTAAATTATTATTTACGATTTATTTTTCTGATTACATATATTTTTATTTATTTTATTAATAATTTCTTTAACCTTTTACAGCAACAACATTTTTGATGTAGCCAATAATTCGCCGAAGCAGTTGAGGCATTACAAATATACAATAGTAAAGTTTCTTGTAGCTTTATTATCAAATTCAGAGTTTATTAATCAAGTAGCTGAACTATCTGATAATGATTTGTATTCATTAAAACCTTTATACGACAAATTAATAGTCGAATTACTATTCTACATTCAAAGTACTTCGAAAGTCGCTGATCATCATCAAGGCAAACCAAATGTAAAATATTGGAAAGTCGTACTACACGGGCTTTACGATATTGTAGATCTCATAAACAATTTACTACCAAATTCAATCTTTATAGCTAGTATCATTAATTTAGTTCATCACAAATCTTTAACTGTCAGAAGAAAAGCTTTAGATCTACTAAACGCAAGATTTATTCAAAAGAAATTTAGCGAAGAAGACCATCAAGATTTATTAAATCTGATTGGGCCTATAACAAATCTACTCCAGGGACCACACAAATTTGCTAATCCAGAACTTGAAGTTGTCCAACAAACTGCACTAATTACTTTGAAATTACTAGCTAAACTATTAGCTTCACAGAATCCTTACATTTTCAAACCAGTAAGTTCTCCATATAATAAAATATGTTCTAAGACATGCTTTTCTTATTGCTATTATTTATTATTTTTTATACTTACAGATCCTCGAACTGACAACTGAACTAATAAAAAAACGTGAAGGTGCTGTATTAGGTAGCGCTACACTTTGTGTCGCTGAATTGTGTAGTTCTATGAGAGTTCATGCAATAGAGAGTCTGAATAAATTTGTGCCAGCCATTATTCGACTTTTGCAAACGTATTGCAAGGAAGAAACTCCAGATATACTTACCATTAGTATAATAAGTGCGTTGCAAAAAATTGTGGAATCTGTTGGCAACTTTTTATCCCTTTATCTTGTTCGATTGTTATACGAACTTGCGAGGTTAAATACTTTATATACAGATTTAGAGAATCCAAAGGTAGGCTATTTCTATTTATTACAATCTTATTGACAACTATATTATACTATAAGAAAATTAATTTTCAGATTAGCCCAATAGTTTTGCGATTAAAAGCTATAACACAAAAATTAACAAGTTGTATACCAGTACGAGTGTTACTACCGGCTGTAAACAAAACTTATGATACTCTATTGTCAAGCAAGTCTTATCAAAGCATTTCCCCTCTTTTGGACATATTCGCTGAATCTTTTAACAACATTCAATCTTCTGAATTAAACAACATTATTCCTGAGATAGGATCATTTTTCTTAAAAACACTACAATTTAGAGAAGAAGTAACGATTTCACATGGTGATATGGAAATAGATGGAGAAGCAACCATTAAAGACGTTGCCAATATTGAAGAAAGTGCTAGTAAAGCATTGGTTACTCTAGTTTTAAGATTGAATGAAGCTACTTTTAGACCTTTGTATTATAAGTTATATGATTGGGTTGCGAGAAACTCACAGCACAAAGAAAGAAATATAACGTTTTACAGGTAATTCAATTATATTGTATGGAAATTCATGATGTAATTTTTAAAAACTAATGCCATTATATTCTTTTTTAGATTATCAGCAAACATAGCCGAAGGTCTTAAATCCTTATTTGTCCTTTTTGCTGGACATTTCTTGAAACATGCAGCTTCTTTGCTTATTGGAAATAATATAAAATCTTGTGAAGGTGGTTCGTTAGAAACAACACTGCAAAATGAAGCTGGAAGAATTGAATTAATAGAAGAAATTCTATTGACATTATATAGAGTTTTTACCTATGATGCACGTGACTTTGTAAATCAAGAAAGATTTGACACCCTCATGCAACCTATTGTTGATCAAATAGAGAACACAATAGGTACAGACCAACAGTATGAAAAAAGAGCAAATGAACTTATTGTGCCCTGCATTGCAGCTTTCGTCGGTTCAATTCCCGATGATTCTCTGCATAAACAATTAGTATATCAAATATTACTAAAAACCAAAAACGAAGAACCTCGTGTTCGGAATACTGCATTGAATGCCATCGTAAGTACTTTTAATTTTTATAATCAACCAATTGAATAATTGACATTTTCAGTTTTTATTATGAACTTTATGTATTAGGTCGAAATAGCTCGAAAACTTGGCGAAGATTATCAGGCTATGTTACCGGAAACTGCTGAGTTTTTCTTCGAATTATTGGAAGACGAAGAAGAATTTATTCAGAAAAATACTAGAAATGCAGTTCGCACTTTGGAAGAAATTCTAGGGCAACCAGTACAGAAGTACTTCTAGAAATTTATACATAATAATACTATATGTATAATAATTTGTATAATAATTTGTACATAATTTGTTATTAAACTATATTTTATAAATTATACGATCAAGTTTTTCTTTACAAGAAGAGGCGGTTTTTTTAAAAAGATGTATTTCAACTTTTAAAATCTTCAGGTATATTTGTATACAGTATATCTTGACAATAACTAGGCCTTTGAAATGTAAGTATTTTAACCAGCTAATAGATTTTACTTATCTCGGCAATAAAAAAATCCAAATTCTTCAAACATTGGAAGAAACATTAGGGTGAGTGATATGCAAAGGTTAATTTTTAAATTATTTTATATGATTGTATATTGTAAGTATTAGTTTGGTATATATATTGTATAATTTGTCTCGAATTTTTTTAAGTGGTCTACATTTGCATTTTATTGAAAAATATATTAAAAAGTACAATTTTTATAAAAACGTTTCTTTATTTAACTTAGATACAATTTGGACGAAATATAATATATTTATTTTATGTATCTCTATACTTATAATACATTTTCATAAAATTTCGATTTGCAAAGATTGCATTGTATATAATCGTAAGTTAACATTTAATCATTAAAAACATACATTTTCAGTAGACTTTAAACTTAAGTTTTACTGAGAACTATGCAAATTAAAATACAAAAATCGGTTGCAAATATAAAATTATTTTAAAGTTAGTTTGAAACTCCATATACATTGTCTATTTCACTGTGGAACAATCAGCAATGAATAAAAAACGTTGATGTCGAGCTGCATGTAAAGAAAGTAGATAAAAATGTCGATAAGTGTTTTTCGATGGCGATAAATCGTTGATGCTGAGATGAGTTTCACTCTGGTAGGTCTCTCAGAAGCCACAGTCAAACTTGAGAATTGTTTCTTGATGTTGCGTTTAGAGCAATGTCTTCTTGCACTTCCGCTGGAGTTTTTCTGAAATTATTGTCCACATTCCTTTTTATCAACAAACCAGTGTGAGAGAAATTCAATATTAGTATTTGAAATTATATATTATGTTAGTAAAAGTCGAATATAAAATGAACCTTAACTACCTTTTTCTGTACTGGGAAATGATGTAAAGTATAACAGCATTTCCAGCAAGTAGTAGTACAATCAGTATTGCCGGCAAGATAACGTCTGAAATAAGAAATTTAAAACATTACATTAGTTTTTTTAGAAAATTTTCGAAGTTCCAACGATATCAATAATAGTAAAGAGGATATCTACTAAAGTAGGCAATTGTTTGAGTTTGGACGAGCTAGCATGAATCAACCAACGTTCAAGTCATTGTCAATCATAAGATCATGAAGTTATAAGTAAATAAATTATAGAATATTTCTATTTGTGGCTATATATGGGATGTTCGGGTAAAGCGGCTATAGTTTTTGCAATTTTAACGATTTTTGAATTCCAAGTTGAAGAGTGAGCTTTCTAAAACACTTATTAGATTTTCATTCCTATCGACTCTGCTCACTTTAATATCAAAAGTTTGAAAATATTACTTCTAGATAGATCAAAGTGAAATACTCCCTATTCATGAATATTACTTCAGTCTCATTTTAGATGAATTACATAAATGAATGTACATTGGCTGTAGTCTTAAACTTGCTTTTGAACAATTGATGGGGCATAATCACATCACTAAACTATGAGAAATATCCGTAAGTGAGCGTCAGTGTACGCGAACAGAGAGAGTCGTAGCTTCAGAGCGGTTTCAATTATTTTTCAATCGGGAGATTATTTTAAGAGAATCAAGAATTGATCGTCAGAATTTCGTTTGTATGTTTCTGGAGGAAGTTATTGCCTATTTTCGTAGATACCCCGCTTTGCTCGTTTTTTGTCTGAAAATCCAAAAGTTGACTTCTTGTGATTAAAGGCTCTGAGAATAAGTAGAATAATTTTTTGACATTAAGAAATTTTGAACAAGGCACATTTAAATAAGATTTTCTAAGAATAATGACAAATCCGTCGTCAGAATTAGAATTGGATATGTTTGAACGAAGTAATCACTGATAACCGGTTGGATATTCCGCGTTGTCTGGATGTCCCCTATATATGTATGTATATTTATATGTTAAATTTTCACATAAAAACTATTAATACTGTTACGCTCATTTTTTTTCGAAGCTTTAACAAAGTGAAAAGAACAGCTTCGATTGTTATGTATTAGTGTAAAAAGTATTTACGGTTAATTCTGCTTCGCGTTTTATTATTTATATTTATTGAGTAATCATTTATTTAGACCCATCTAGTAAGCGGTAAACAATATATAACGGTACCAAGGTATCGACACTCTCAACGTTATAAAATGTATTCTATACGTTTAAAAATGTCAAGCTTTAAAAAACGAATTCTTCACTTGGAATTTTATTAAAAATAAAGTTAAAATGTGACTAACCTACAACATAGTCGCCGTCTTTGATCAAGGATGACTTCGTCTGATCCATGATGCTGTAATTAGCAGTTTTGACAACTGCTGCCTCGGATGCTCCTTCAGTCCTCGTTGTTAAATCCAGGATGCTTGAACCGGTAGTAGCGTTAGTGTCGCTACTGCCAGCGCCGCCCGATAAGCCTCTGTGACGATTAGTGCCGTCCGTCTCACTGCTCACGATTAGCACCGACGAAGCTGTGGAATGAGAGAATCATTAGAAACCACCATTTTGGTTAATAACTCCAGCAATGTTTTTCTCATTCGTCATGCAGATAAGATTTACACGTCGCTTTCTTTTTTCACACTGAAAGCTTGCCAAATGTTGATTCACGTGCTTAACTCGGCTTTATGCTTTATCCTCTCAAGTTTTATGCATTCATAAAGATTAAAGTAAACTCGACGCTTACTAAAACTTGGATATTGTAAAAGACGAAGATCAATTCAGCATTGTTGGCGTTAATTTATGAGAATGCTCTTTCGAGCTCTTCTGTATAATAAATCAATTATGCGTGGAACAAGAAAAACTGCATGTGACAATTTTTATAACACAACAGCTTTTACGGATGACGCAAGTAAAAAGAAAGAGAGAGAGAAAGAGAGATTTCGAATGAGTAATAGGCCTCTGCTCCAATTGAAAGTAATTGTCGGGCCCTCAGTGCCAATAAATTTAATATCACTTAATCAACGCTCTTAAACGCGTCTTTTCACTAGCTCTCAAAATCACACATGTCTTGACAATTAACATACATTATATTTCATATTCAGCTTGCTTCACTCTAAAACTGAGAACATTATCGTACATTTTAAGCAAATTGTGATTCTTTTTTGTTTAAAAAGATTTTCTTTATTGAATTATCCTCGTGAATTTGTGTGTCGGTTACGCGTACTGGTTAAAAAGAAAACGACAAAAAAAAAATCAACAACCGTGAACGACTTATGTGTACAACCATTTTTCAATTAAGAGAAGCTCTTGAATTGGATTATTGTAGTTGCAAAAAGTTTCAATTCGATTACCAAGTAAACCGTCGCACTCAGGCCATTCCTCTACAACTCTTAAATGTAGAATAGTAAAACGTGAAAGCATCCGTACTGTGACCAACTTTGTACATTTAATTCATTTAGAGTTTAGCTATAAGGAACTTCATGAATATTCAGCCGAAATTAGAAAACATTTACAAATTCAAAATGTTTTCGCTCTCAATTCACAGTCGAATTTTAATTTTCGCTTTAAAAAACAATAAAGAAGGGACAACTATTTAGGCGTCTATTTCTCGAATAGCTCATTTAACTTTCACGACGTCGGAGAACCTCTTTAAACTATCGGGAAACTCTACCTTCATCTAGGTGTATGCGAGCCTATTATTAAAAGTCGCTTCTCAAAAGTTAACAGTGTTGGCTAGGCCATTTCGTGCTTTGACTAATTCAAGAAGTAACAACTTTTAACTTAATACTGAATGAGAATTTGGCAAGATTGCGATGGCATGCAGCGTATAAAACTGTGGAAAGTAATTGTTCTTGTCTGAAGGAAATTTATTTTAATTTCTGGATCAATTCGAGACTTAATTAAAATATTAACAGATTCAAAATTAATTTCAAAATCGTATAGAGAAAAAAAGTTCTTGATGTGGTAAATGAAATCTTATTTTAAATCTTATTGATTAGAAAATTGATGAAAAAATACAAATAATGATTGATTTACTATTAATGACCGATGTTTCGTTATCGACTAATTTCATTAGATAAACAATTTAATTAACAATATAGTAGTTCTACTCACAAATTAAGGTTCTGAAGCCGTTCGAAAGACTGAAACCCATTCTGTTTTATAAAATTGTCTATTTTTCAACTTGCATGATTTGATACGAGAACGTCGTAGTCTGGCTACAGATCACTCTCGTAACTTCAAGAACGCTAATTTAAATAGTTATTTAATAGTTATTCAACTTGAGTGGTTATTCGATATAATATTCTTCATTCAGCAGAGTAAGATTCAATACAGAGTTTAGAGCTGTCAGTTTTCATGCTCCAGTAAGCGAAGCTCCAGAGAGAATTTTATCGTTGTAAACGAGTCAAGTTTGTCGAGAAAAGCATCTTCTTGCGCGCCAATGATGATGCTGAGCCACTCGAAACGCTTAGTTAACCGTGAATTGGTGCCGGTGCCATTGTCCTAAAATGCACAAAGATGTCGACTACTCGCTTTCGCCATCTTTATATTTCCTCATCGCGGGACTTTTTTTCTTTATCAGCACCGCATCAGGCGACTTTCTAAGGCTTTTTTTCACCTACTTCGTATAAACGCGCTGACAAAGAGAGGGGAATCGATCCACGTTGTAAAGAAGAGCCGATGAGCTCAGTATAGCGGTAAGAAAACCAGGCCGAATCCACACAATTTGGTGGACTTTACGCCGCCCTCCTAAGAATTCATGAGACTTTCACCCTTATATGTTATAAGTAATCGCGAGCAAAAGAGCCGATACTGAGACGACCTTTGCACTTTATATCTTTCTGCGCACGATATCACGCTTTCCCGTCCATCTATAAAACTCCCTTGATTTCCTTTGTTGTATTGCGCTCATTAGCCAATTTCCGTCTGCAAAACCGTCATTTGTCGGCACCGCTAACCTGTACTTTAATAATTCCAAATAAAACGTTATAATTTGATCAAGCTTTCAGTTATTATTGGGCATTTATTTGATAGTGCAAATTCCAATAGGATTATTTGTTCAACAATACCAAGTACTTTTCAACAATGGAATTCAAAAGATCATTCATTCACGAGAAAAGCTTGAAATCAAGGCGCGACTCGTTAAAAATAATGTTTTCACTGTTATAGATGCGGAAGAAAACGTATCGATACGTACGATTTCTGATGAAAGTAAAGTAAGGCTTTCCAGTAACAATGCTGTAATAACTCGTATCATTTACTTTTCGTGTCGCATTGTTCTATTAGGAAACAACACGGGCATTGTAGCGTATCATTAAAACTTTTGTAATAACATTCCAGCTTTCGTGATTAGAGTGCACAATGGAACGCTGTTCCAATTGTGTGCTATCATAACAACAAGTTCTTTTCACGACCCGATAGATAATCAATTTCACCGGACGCACAAGCTCATTCGGTTAAATACATCTGTCTTGAATTCTTGAACGCTCGATATTACTTTATCAAAAATCGTTGATCAAAACTCGATGGCGACACGAAAAAAAAAAATCAATTGCCAATATGGAAAAAAACAATTGAGAAAAAGAGAAGCGAAAAAGTTAACGTCGAAACGGGCCGAAAAACAGAGGTGAACAAAAGCCTTACGAAAGAGCAGCGTGTGAATGAGAAACAAATGGGCAGTGGTTAGAGTATCAGGAGCTCGCTAGAGAAAGGGGTGAAGGTCATCGACGACGCACCTGACTTCACAGACAGAGAGAGAGAGAGAGAGAGAGAGCGCAAAAGAAAAGCGAACACTTGCAGGACAGCGGCTACGATGGTGGCGTCGACGCTGTCAGGCAAACAATGGGCTGACCGGTATTCGGTTTGCGCGCGTAAAGAAAGCCACGCGGTGTACGTGGCGAGCGCCGAGCGCGACTGGGTCGTCGAGGCGCGAGTCGCCTGCTCGCGAAGCGGCCGCGGGGGTGGCGGTGGGTTGCTCGCTGTACGAGCTGTGCAGGCGCTGAAAGATGGATGAGGCCACGCGGCGCTTCGGCGTGGGGCTTCGGCGCGCGCATCGCCGTCACCTCAGCCCCCTACCTAGCTCAGGCACCCTGCCACCCTCTTGCTCCTCACCTCTCGCTCTATCCTGTCTGAATTTTCATTTTCCCTCGTTTGCCCACCCTCACTATCGCACTGCTACGCACACCTTCCCCTACACTCTGTCCTGGCTACATACGTGAATGCCAAAGTTGCTATAGTGATTCGTTCGCGACGCGACCTGTTAAGTATATGTGTGCCAGGCATACAACGAGCGACGGCTGTTCGCTGTATATATGTATATACGAAATGTCGTAATCGTTCCTCTGTCTCTCGAATTCAGATTTCTACGCTCATGCTCTGTTATACGACTGATAACATCGAGGACAACGCTCATGGAAATTAATTCTTGCTACTTTTCGACATTCTAATGATGATAGACTGATATAAACGAGCCTTTTTCACTGCATCATTTCTTATAATCTCCTTGCATCTCGTAAGATAATATTGATTGTATGATACATGCTACTTTTCTATTGTGATACTACAACGATCAAAGTTTTTGTGAAATATTAAAATAGTATGCGTAAGTCTATTAACAACAATAACAATAATGGACCACAAAAGTCGTATCAGCTTATTCAAAAGACGCTATAATATTCATCTAAATTAGGAGTGCGTTCATTATAAGCCTAATTGATTTATCTGTGTTCGTACTATCAATCAAGCGTTGCAATGATAGATTTTACGTTGTTTGCTATTGTGAGATTAGAACTTTGAAATTATTGACATGTTCCATTATTTAACGTTTCCAAAATCATTTAATATATCAAGTGTGTATGTTAAAACGGAAAAACGACAATAAAATGATAAATTATAATAATGCTTGGAATATATAATAGCTGTTATGAAAAAGTGGTTCTTGAGTCGAAAAGGGCATATGACTACATAATACGTACATTACAAAAAAGTACTTATTTTTAGCAAGCAATGAATGACAGAAGTTTTTTGTTCTTTTCATGCTTCCCATAATTGCAATATAACTCTGTAACAATATTATTAAGTGTTAGAGCTTCCATGCTACTATATAGACGACGTTTCTGCTAAAATGAAATGCATTTTTTCATTTTTTTATACTGTGTACATCGTTTGCTTTAATATTAATTCTAGTACAGTAGATGAATGTTTTCTTTTGGCATTAAGAAGTGAATAGCTTGAGAAAGAATTCAGACTTATGCAAAACAGAATACAAAAGAAAAGAATGCCCTCCGAGCAACTGGAATTGCCGGAAAAAAAGACCGAGAGAGAATTAACGTGCAGTGGAATAATTGGCTCTGAATTCTGAGCAATGTGGTTTGCTGTTCGCTTGCTTCTAATTACTTCCTTATCGGACTCATGTTCAATGAAGCTCGATGACAGTTTTGAAACGTTGGTTGGTAAACTAAAACGAATTGAAGCAAGCCAAATCATATCAGTCTATGAGATACGATAAGCGTAATTTTTCCCAAAAATGCTTGCTGAAAGACTTTTGCGTAATTATAACTAATGTCAGTTTTCACCAAGACGTTCATTCGGCCCATTCTTATCGCGTTGTGTCAATAGGATGCGGAACCTAAAAAAATATTCGGCTGTTATCAACAACTCAGATAAAAACAGATCTTGTAATAGAAAAGCCATAAAAACTGGGTTTAAATATACACTGCACAACAAATATTTTGATAGAACAGCGTGAAGCCGACAAACAATGCATGCAGGTAACAACCGCGACTTGTGAAATTGGAAGTGTGCGATGGAGCGTTGAGAACAATCATCGAATTCGAACAAAAACAGAGGGAGGGAGAGAGAGAGAGAGAGAGAGAGAGAGAGAGAGAGCGAGAGAGAGAGAGAGAGAGACAGAGAGAGTGCTCGTTCCAAATATGATGGCGTTGAGTGCACACGTTCACGCTCGACTACGCCGGAAATGTCCTCGCATATCCGGTTTTCCCGCACACTACATCCGCGCACGCACATTTTCATATTCCTATGAATACTTTATGCGGAGACACGTCTACACATAGAAATAAAAACACTGACCTCCTTGGCGTATATAAATCCGTTATGCAGCTTAGAGAGCTGGGACGATCGACGCCAAAAACACGTGGCGGGAAGACGCCAGTTAAAGCGTACAGACGCAAGCGTTGGCGCGCTCTCGGACCGATTGCCCACCGTGCACTGCCTATAGTCGCTCTCGCCCTATAGCTTTCGCAGTCTCACTCTCGGCTTGCCTCTTTCCCCCTGCGACTTCGATACATATACTTAGTTGGCTCTCGTGCCCAGACACGTATCACCGAGCTCTCGGCACCCTCTGCCTACTACCTCCCACGCACGCGCTTGTTTTCCTCGCGTCACGACCCATCTGATATTGGCGCCTTTTGTGCGTGGCGGAACTCCGATCGAGATTAATCGTGCGCTTACCGTGGCTACCTGAATTTTCGTCCTACTCTCGTGGAAATGCTCGCGATTATCTTCGGAGAAAACCCGGACTCTTTCCTATACCTTGGTTGACGCTGTCATACGGTGGTTCGGTTTATTCCTCGATCTCAATCGTTTGACAGATAAGTTCCACATTGTCCGTTAACTAAGCTCGTAAAAATATTCTAGATTGATCTGGCGTAGATATATATCTCCTGAGAGAATTTTCCACGTTTCGAGAGATACGTCTCATATGCAAATGCAAGCCTCACGAAAGGCTGCAATGGACAGATTCCCGAGGTGCTGATGTAACTAGCGGTGGAAACATCTGTTCGACACATCACCTTCACGATAAATATCACCGTATACGTATGCACGCAATAAATATTATCGAGTGCACATATCCGATGTATATCGGAGCAGTGGCGCGTGTAAGAAACAGAAGAGGCGAAGAGAGAGAGAGGGGGGGGGAGGAGGAGAGAGAATTCGAGCGGAGAAAGAGCGTTCGGAAATACACGAACCGAACTGCCTCACGGGGCAATGTTCTCCGTCTCGTTTGTGACGTAGTCTCCGCTGATTTTTTTCTTCGTTCTTTTTTTTTTCTTTTTTTTTCTTTTTTTTTCTTTTTTTGACTTCTCGTGACGGCGGCGAGTTGCTCTCGCTCTTTGCGCGCAATTTTCTACAAATTGCCGCTGCACACGCACGCACACCAGGCCACCCCACTCCTGTCCTGTTGTGCAGTCGAAGAATTGCGATGCTTGTTTTATGTGCGCGTCTCATCGACCGGTTTCCTGCATATTCCCAATCACATAACACATAATCAATAGTTTTGCAAATGCTCTCGGAAGCATATAATTTTCGCGTTTTTGAAATATTGCACTTTGGTGTTTAATGCAATCGATTTGCGATAATACACGCACGCAACAATAATCAGTATGGCAACGATGGCGCCAGAAATAAATGCTAACTATATATAATTAAGGCGGTTGCATTGGTAAGATAACAAACAACGAGATCAATAACCGAATATAAATATGAGGCTCGCATGAGCAGAGGGAGTAGTAAAGACAAGGATGAGCGAGAAGCGATTGACTCACCACGAACGCAAGCGGGTAAATCAGAAACACTTTGCTCCCAACTACCGTGCCGGCAATGGATCGTGCGCGTCCTTTGTCCGGTGTCGGGGAACAATGTACCGGCTCTGCACAGAAAGGTTCTCGTGTCCAGGCTTCCGTTGGAGACGTAGCTGCCTGGGGGCGCCGTCACGTCGGGACACCCTAAAACTGCCAGAAAGAGAGCGCCCACATTATTGATCGATTGCTCGCTCGCTCGCTCGCGCGCAAGCAGCCAAATGGCGCCTTCATGAGCTCCTGCCCATCGATTCTCCATTCTAATTCCCTCAATGACTGTTAATGTTATTGGCCCACTCGCGATTTTGCCCAGCAATTTGTGCCGAGAAAGAAAGGGGAGGGTTATCACGGTTCAAGCCGGCGGATTACACCAAAATTCAACGCGCGATGCGCAAAACTCGAACGGATATGTCGAATTGCACGCGCGAAGAGCGAATGTAAATATAAATACGCAAATTTGAAAGTGAATTTTGATGGCTGTTCGCGTCGTAGGAACAATTTCCCTTGTAATTTTCATTTGAATTCCGTATACATGAGAAAATTATTTAGAAGACACAGCGATCTGCACTAAATAACTGAATAATAAAGACAATTATTTTGGTGAATCATACCCTGATACTGTAGAAAAAATCCTCGTGCAGAATAAAGCCTCTTGGATGCAATGAGGTTGAGTGTGACAACGTTCGTATTCGATATGATTTTCACGCCAGCAGCCGTGCCACAACTCTCGAACAGTGTATTGCCGTCGTCTCGCACTCTGACGATGTCGATACAACTTCCGTCCCTTTCGTGCTCTACGGTAATAAGTGCCAAATTACAGTTTCGACGAGCGAATGATAAGGGGAAAGCAATCAATCTAACAAGCGAACCTCGAATGTTGAGATCGTGAAATGTCAGTAGTATCCTTTGACCGGGTTGTGACCTAAATGTCCAGCCGCACGTTATTTCGCCGACGTAGTAGAGTGGGTAGCCAGGCGACTTTAAGAAACCACCTGGGCCAGCAGGCACTTGCAGCTCGGCGTTGCAGTATTTGAACACCGATGTCTCTGCGAAATTAAAACATTATTTTCAAAAGGCCAAAAAAGCAGACTGAAGTTAAAATTTATGGATAACACCCAATTGTTAAAAGAATACGCGTTTTTATTTGCCTTATCATGAAAATTGCGTATCTAACAAATATTTTTTATATTAAATTTAAAAAAAACTAGCAGCATAAATCGGTATTAACAAAATCCCGATTGCGGTTTGTACCATATTATTTATCGTGGTCAATCGTTAAAAACCACTCATCAATCACATAGTCCGGTCAGTGCACCCTCTCCAAAATTCACGGCGGCGCTTCACACGCGCCTCTGAAAAAGAAACGAGACGAGAGAAAAAAGGAGCACGCAAACACACGCGCACAAGAGAAAGAGAGAGATAATGGGCAGAAAGCAAAGAAGAGAGAGGAGAAAAGGAGCATCCCTCCTCGACAAATTCGTGTGAAAGGGCCGTTTGGTACGCTTACATGCAAGATGCATTATGAGCGGCGCGTGCAGCATCCATAAATGTCGGCATCACGAAGATATATACAGCAGTAGCTATCCCCTGCAGCTGAGAGACTTGATGCATCGGGAAAAGTGGGAAAAACAGAGAGCTAGAAGCTCTATTCCGCGCGCGCCAGCATCTGTTTCCCTGACGAATGTTTAATACAACGTGCGGCCGGTTATCGTCCTTGCTCCAGTTATTCGCCAGGGGGATAGATGCGGGGGAGCTTATTTTTCACGGCTCGCTGAAAATTGGAACGCGGGGCCGGAGATCCAGGTGGATGCTGATATTTTGCTCGCTCTGCCTCTGCGTCTCTCTATATATCTCGGGGTCTGAATGCTTTGGAAGGGGTACGATCGATTTTTCTCCAAGCGTCGCGCCACTGTTTTATTGTTTGCTTTCTCTTCGGCTTTCTTCTTGCCATCGCGACAGTATTGAAATGCTTCCAAAAAAATGCTCCTCCCTCGGATCTCGTGATTCGATCCAAAATAACACTTCGTTACTCTTACATATATTGCGCCATGATCGAGAAAAATACAAACTCTTTCCAGAGGATTATCGTGAAACCTATATTTATTTATGTATGCTGTAATAGGAAAACTGCTCATGAGTCTACTTCGATTTTCTAAAGCTTTACCTACTCTTCAATGTACTTTATGCATCATTTTACGAATACTAATTTTACATACTAATTTTTATTGAATTTCTCAAACTTACTTTAAATATTTTCGACTTATTGAACTTCTTAATGCACTGATTTTTAAAATGGCAAAGAAATACATTATTGTGCGTATTTGGCTGACTTTCAATATAAGGTATTCTCAACGATATTTCGAAAACTACACCAACAGGTGCTCATTGATTTAGAGATAAAGTAATTTTACGTGTCTGTATATTACGTTACGAAGAGCATGTCAAGTTTTACTTAAAGTTTCAAAAAAAAATAAATAAAATAATCCATCATTATAAAATGACTATCCTAATAGCTACTGTCAATAAATAATCAATCTAGGTTGTAACAAAGAAAAGGGTTCAAGTTTCAAGCTTCGTACCTGGTATACAAGCATATTTTATTCGTATGTTCGCAGGTTTCCAGAAAAGCGATTCCGGATGATCAGACATCACTCTATATCGACAATGGGGATGTCCCGAGCACCTGAAAATAATTGTTTGAATTACTAATTGGAAGTTTTAACATTTGATCAGTCTTGACTCGTCGTGATATACGATATGATAGAGGCTTCACTGGAAAAATTATTATTAGATATAAATGAAAACTGTCAATAGCTCGTTTTTAAATTACCGGTGTAACAATTCTATAGGTTTGAATTCTTACACAAATTATTAAAGACGTTAAAATCATTCTTCATTGTAGAGGCGTGTTTCTTGCAAAAGCTTCCTATTCAAAAACTTGCTCGATCCCGCTCATTTTTTTTGTGCGTGAATGGTTTCTAGTAGGAACAAGGAGCGAAGATTCGTTTCTCTCAGGATCGCGCACCCGCACACACATACGCGCGTGTGTGTGTGTGTGTGTGTGTGTGTGTGTGTGTGTGTGTACATATATATTCGGAGTGCCGCGAGAGCTAGAGTGTGACGTTTTTATTGCGAACGCTCGGTTATGCATTTATTCGCTCGCGGAAATGTTGGAGGAAGCAAGAGGAATAAGAGCAGCAGCGTCAGGAGAGAAATAAAAAAGACCAGTCAGACGGATTCGTAGGCTGCTTTGAACTTGGACTCATTTCTGCTCCGCGCTCATTGCTGTGCTTAACCAAGCTGCACACCCGCTGACTCCGCTCGGCACCTCAAAATGCCTTCATTAGAAATTCACGCTTCGTCCTTTCCAATCCTTCAATATTTTATTACGTAGTACTCAAGTTTATAATGCATATTTATATATAATAATAAGTATTTAACGTCAGCTGCTGAAAAGATGCAGTTCACATTGTAAAGAATAAATATTTGTCTCGTCTATATAAATTTCAATTTGGAGGAATAATAAATCAATAATTAATGATTAATTGTTGATTGATTAAAAAAAATGATATTTTTGTACGAGAATGCAGTCTTATATTACTTTATTTTACCGATAAACACAGAGTGCCTCAAGCGCATACGAAGGGTATCATTAATTTAAGAAAAATTTAGCAGCTACAAGCGAAGTAATGATTAATTGTGCACGTGTACAAACGGCCCTGGGTTATCAATTTTCGTTTGACTTTTCGACACTTGGCCCTACAATTATCGACTCGGATTCTCCTCTGACGTCACGGAGTAAATAGCGTGCGCGCGATGTAAAGTACATAGAGGGTGCATATAATGTGTAATGTATGCGCCGAGATTCGTAATGATTGTTCATAGCCCATATTTGCCGAAGATATTTAATCGTACTTTGTGTCCTTGCATACATCGCAGATCAGATAGCCCTTACCCTTGGTGCATTTTTTCTCCCCCTTCCCCTCCCCTCGGCTTCTCGGTCACCCTACTGTACGGATATTCTCCCTACGCGCGCATACCCGCGTATCCGATCCGATCATACGCACATCTGCGAGGCATTCACTGCATTTTACTACCTTTTTTGTTTAACGGTCAACCACTGCAATCAATTCAACAAAACATCTTTTGTTATTTCATACTACAAAATGAAATAAATATTTCAATCAGCACTTTAGTAACGCCTATCCGTGATTTAAGTAATTGATTTTTGCACCGTGTTTAGAGCACTAGCTTAGTGCTCGTGCCCTAAGCTCACGGTGCAAAACTGACCCATCTTAAGTCATAGATATACGGACCATAAGTATCGTTGATAAGATCGACAGCACTATTAACTATTGTAGAATACGCGTGACTCAACTATCACGCCGTGCAATAACGGGTTACTTAAGTCAGGCGTACCGTAATATACTATTATCCGATTTATATCTCGATGTCAAATCTATTCACTCGTCCGGCTTTGCATTCGAACACATGTAAAGTTACGTTCACAGTTGCTTGATTCACTTGAGTATTGGAAATTCTAATTGCTATGCTTCAATCTTTTATGTATTTGTAGAAATTATTTAACGCGGACCGATAAATGTAGGTTTGTATTGACAAGTCTAGTTGCTATGCTTCAATCTATTTTTATACTTGTAGAAATTATTTAGCGCGGACAGATAAATGTAGGTTCATATACATTATATAAGAGAACAGACTTCTACATACAGCTGTGCAGTAAATATATGTTCTTTTTTCGCGTTGCGGTCGGATACTCTGGTTGAAATGTAATATTTCGTAAATTCGCTCTCTTACTTTACCTGCGTTTTACGTACTCCCTACTGGTTTGTGTTTCTCTCGAAGCCAACTGTATTGTTTCACGCAAAGGTTACATTTCTCTAATTCGTTCTATTGCGCGGCTTCTTCATGATTTTTAAATATGGTTGCGGATGAAATATTACTTAAAAGTAATATTTGTTTTACCTATATTTAAAAAAATATGCCTACCTGCGGTTAACTGTATTTCGAAAGTCCAACGAATCTTCGTCGATGCCGTATCCGTAAGTATTCATGAGAAAGCTCCGTCTCAGTTGTAGAACCCTCAACGTGGCGAAGAGCTTTTTGTATTTGCACCAGGATTCTCGATCGTAAACGCAGGCGTTCGTTTGATTCGGTATGTATCTGGCTTCGAGAACGAAAACGAAGGAAGTCAGTGACCTGCAGGTGAGACGAACTAGCGTAGCCGAGCACGTCTGCTCTTCCACGAGCTCCATGAGGTGGCCATCGTTCAGTCGCACCCCGCTGACGTTTCTCGTGATGATTTGACGCAAGCCGGAGCCATCTGCCGTGAGACTTGCGCACGTTATCACCAGGATAACCGTCAATATTGTGCTTGATGTCATCTTTGCCGCGTGCGTTCATGGGGCCTCTGAATATGTCACAACAAACGCTTCATTTGAGTGATGTCTAAAGCTTTATATAGCGCATCCTCTCGAACACAAGGAAATTTATTATTTTTCTTCAATTATCACAATTAACAATGTAATTATAAAATCTAGACAAGTATATTTTAAGGAGACGAAAATTCTTCCTCGCCAACTACAACATTCTAATTCCGTATAGTACTACTTTCGTATTTATTTTCTAATTTCGTATGCTCTAATAAAAAAACTGTTGTGATTTTACATTTCAAAATAAACGTTAGAGTTACCAAATATTTTAGAGATGCTAACACTGAGCAGAATCCAGGTATGCAACGAAAATGAAAAAACATATTTCTATTAATTGAAATGCTTAAGACATTGTTTATTGTATGGATATAAATATTCGCATATTTAGATAAATAAGAAAAATCTATAAAGCTTATTATTAGTGATAACTGATGATAAAAGCTTTCAAAGCGCGATATTTAAAATGAAAGCTCGCATTAAAACTCAATTCGGGTCAGAAGCCTACTCGAGATAGCTTCAAGTGCGTACACTGTTGAATTTGAATTGCGCAAGGAGGAGAGCCAAGTAGGATTTACCGCTGCGTTGGCGTGTGCTTCTGTAGTAATAGCATACGCGAAGCGTTCGCGTATCGTGCGATTGAAAAACGGCACGCGTGCAGTAAAGGCCGCCGAAAAAGCATGCAGTAAAGGCCAACTCCGCAGCGAAGAAGCTCTCAAAGATACTCCAAAAATGCTATTGTAAAGAGGCCTCTTTCAAACAGAGCCATTTCTCTCGTTTATTGATGAACGAGTAAAAGAGAATAAGAATTGCACACTTTGCGATACATATGGTACTTGATTTTCCCAATAATACTCCATTGAGAAATTTCTTCGATTCTTCAATCTGTTCTTTCCAGATTTAAAGAAAATATATTACGTGTAAATTTATTGCTGTCGCTTATTTAGCCAATGAAATCTATATTTATAAAAAAAGAATATCTCGAATTGCATATCTATCTCTCCAAGTATTGTGTATGCGTAATGCTATTTATATCAACGTATTGATTAATGTTTTTAAAATATAAGCTTTCCACGCATCTGCTGAAATAGATAACGTTTTTTCACGTGAAAATAATCTAGGATCGCACTATTTTTTATTAGAAATTTTGTTACATGATTTCGATTGTTTATAAATAGAATTCATCCGTGTACTAAAATATATTTGCATGGCATTGGCACTCAAATCAAGTTTCTTGAATGAAATCTACATTTTGCAGCTGAATAAATATAGACATAAAAAATATAATATAGACATAAAAAACAGCATACATTTTAAAATACTGAAATCAATTGTTGCGTATACACCATCTGTAATTGTATTTGTAATTATTGTAAAATGAAAAAATATATCAAATTCCTTGTCCGGAAGGAAACCATTTCTTAAGGTACAATCCATAAAAGTTCCAGCGTAGTGATTTTCCTCTTTCATACGTACAAGTTGCATATCAAAAAAACAAACAAACAAAAAAAGTTCAATCCTCAAATACATTTCAGGCTTCCCGGATTAACCTTTATCGTATCGCCGTAAGTGCGCAGCCCCAGCACCGGTGAAAGTAATTTACCCGAGATTGATTTATCGCGCGCGATAGAAAATGAAAATCCCCAAAAAGCCTCGAATGCGCGCAGCTGTCTCGTACATCGCGCGAACTCGAGCCGAGAGTTTTTGTATAGTAGTACTTACTTCCGGAATACGGCTGGGGAGGAAGAAAGTCGAGGAACAGGAACCACCGAGCGATCAGCTTCTCTAACAGACTCGTCCAGCGAGCCCCGCGCGATCTTTCTCTTCACTTTATAATCTTCCTTTCAATCGTCAAACCGCGAATTTACGTACTGGCGCCAACAAGATTATTGGTTTAAGCTCTGGCTGAAAGCTACAAGAACGCACTGCGCTCACGACTGTGGATTATCAATCACTATCGAGTTTCTGAGAGCCTCGAGCGTTGGATGATTCAAGGTTAAAAGCCACCCGTGCAAGCTTTCTTTCGTAATAATACACACGCACACCCACATAAATCTAATTCCACTTGATTTTCCAATTTTCACTTTTATCATTCAATTTCACTCCGACTCCGGAACAATCATTAACACTTTTTTAAACTTCACTACGCTCGAAAATCTTCACAAGCAGTACGCGTAAATACTATATAGAAAAATATGCTTCTTCTTCGCGTTCGTTGTGTATCTTCTTTGTGTGTCCGGCTGAAATAAATGATCGTATCCGCCACCAAACTTTGTAGCACATCATGTGTCATCGAACGTCAAGATCCGAAAATTTTTCACGTGGAGTCAGATCGCTTAAACACGGCAGCTGCTCCTGTCGTATACGACCAAGGCACTGATGTCTCATAATAATCGCGGAATTGACGGTAGAAAACGATATATCGCGTCGGTTTTGCGGCAATGAACAATCTCACCAACGTCCACAACCACAAAACTTTACCAGCAACATCACCACCGATGATTGGAAAGCTCGATTGTATGCATTACAGAGGATCAGAGAAAATCTCAGTGTGGATCATTGCACTCAATACTCTCTGCAATACTGAACTTTCAGCAGTCGACATTTTTTCACTAGTACACTCCACTTTATAATCAAAAATATTTCGTATTCCGTCACTTTCTGTTAAAAAATCTACCAAAATTATCTCCAATGCTCAAAAAAATTCGCACTCTTATTTTTTTCGATCGCTCTGTCACCGAAGCCTCCAGTGGAATGGCAGTCGGAAACTGTTTGCGAAAACCGATTCCAAGTGAAAAAAGATAAAGTGCGTGGATTTTTGGGAGCGTAGGTGTGCATATTCTATATGCGGCGGCCGGCGTCGAAGCGGCTCTCCAGCCGCTGACTGACTGAGAGAGTCGGCAACATGTAGCCCTCGTGTTTCAGTCGGTGCGACTTTACACTTTAGGTACGTGCAGGGGAGGCCCCGCGCCACGTCTCACACGCGCCACGCTGCTCTCCCGGCCGATACTGAGAGATCTATGCCATACGTGTAGTCTACATATACGCACACTGCATCCCCGCGATCGCTTCGCTCCTCGATCATCATAGGCTGCTACACCGCAGCTTTGTATTGCTCTCTCGCGCGTGCGAACACGGTCCCCCGAAGAGAGAGAGAGAGAGAGAGAGAGAGAGAGAGACAGGGCAGTATCGCACGTGGATTATATTAAAATGAAAATTTCGGGTATGATATGCTATATTAAGAACGGCCATTTTCGAACAAGGTGCTAAGCATCGACCCATAAAATAAATTACGATCGAAATGTCGTAGCACACGTGCGCAGGCAAAACAGCAGCTGCTCCACACCTTGTTTTCAAAGTCTAATCGTTGTACGCATGGCTGGCAACAACAGCCAAACTCGAACACTGACTTGAGCGCGAAATCTCGCCCATTGGAACGTACTTCGCACGACGCACAGTCCATTACTTATCGTCTAATTACATCGACGACCTCCTTGAGAAAGATTAATGGGCAAGCAGCGCCAGCAGCGCCGGCAAGTCTTTTTGAGCGTGTAATGGACATTAACCCTCGAAAAATGCGCCACTTGTGTCTCGAATTTTAAGCTAATTTTATCCGTATGTGAGTAACTGCCGGCGATCTTTGTTGTCCTAACTTTCTACGTGCCGTTTGCGCGCATGCACTTTCTCCTATGCGCAGCCGGCCCGTCATTGGGACCACCCCTCGACGCACACACAGCACGCGCGCGCACGCACGCGTGTACGTTTATATAAGATCTCGTCACTTTGCTGCACAACTGCACAACGGGGGGACGCGTCCAACCAGTAGCTCTCTCCCGGCGCCGCGCACCGCATTATTTTTCAACCCCAACGCAAAGACCATCTATTCGCTCTCGCTCTCTTTTTCCCCTTTCATCTCGCGCCGGATTCTTTACTGCACCGCGCTTGTCTGTCTGCCTGCCTGTCTCTCTCTCTCTCTCTCTCTCTCTCTTTCTCTCTCTCTTTCTCTCTCTTTCTCATTGTGCCGGCCTTTTTGGTGCGAAACCTAACGGGTTAATTTCTTATCCGTGCGATCTCTTTTCCCTCGCTGCGTCTCTTTGTCGACTGCTTAATCCGCTAGGGTTTTACGGTCTCACTTTTGGCTTGGTACTGTCAAGCAAGTGCTTAATTTTTCTAACCTACTCTTTGTTCGACTATTTTCGCGAGCAGGATGGACGCAAAAATGATAAAACGTTTGTAAATGTTGCGCGTTACTCGTTAAAAAGGCTGTGGCTTCTCGAGGTAATCTAGACAGTTTCAAAATAAAGGCGAATTTCGAAGTACTACAAAGCCTGTGCTCGGCCCAATTATCCGACTTATTTACTTTTCGATGCAATTGAAGGGGGGCATCTTGTAGTATTTGATGTAAGAGCACTTTATGACTAGTTTGAATGCATCAGCGGCTCCATAATTACCACATTCTAGTGGCTTCTAGCGCGCGAGTGCAGCCTCGACTACACGACTATAAATGTTCTATACGTTCTTTCTTATTCCTTGATCAGTGGCGAGAGGCTCGAATAAGGGATGTATTTTCAAGGAAAATCTCGACTGCATCCAAAAATAAACGCGACTAAGATCTTCCCCGGATTTTCAAACTGCTCAATTCATCCTCTTGTAATGCTTACACGAAGGTAGGGCAAGGTAGAGCATACACGTCGGAATAAGAGCGCGAAAAGCAACATGTATCGGACACTCGGATTTTTTCCTCCTTCGAGTTGAATAGAGCTAAGTTTGATGGGCTCATTGTTACAGTACCGGAAAAACCCCGTGAGCAGCCGTTCATTGTGGGGCTTTCGCTGACGATTTTGGTCAAAGACATTGGAGAAAGAGAGAGCTATAAGACAGAGGCAATATCCGAGGCGGTCCATTGAGGCAGCACGCGCACCTTGCCCACATCAACTCGGGAGATCGTGCATCTG